GAAGGATGTATTTATTCACAAGTGAGTATGCTAAAAATTCCATGGAACTGTCATTGGTCTGTTTGATATAAATCACAAACATTGGCCCTTGAGGCTGAAGGCTCTAAGGCAGAGAAGCCTCAACTTGCCCTAGTTGATTAAGTTATCTAAAACAATATTATTAGGACAGGATATAAGATTCTTTGGGAATCCTAACCTTAGAATTTAGGTTTCTATTTCAAAGTAGAAGATCACTTGAAGAGGCCAGGCAGATAGAGTGCTTAAGTAAAAATCACATTTTCCCACTGGCATGATGGCTCCTCCTGTTCTGATCATAGTGGGGTTTGTTTGGCTTTTAGCAATGCCATTAAATTTTAACATACTAACCAGATATCTTATTGTAGCAAAAAAATTGTGCAGTATCTATTCTGCCTATCATTTTATCACACAGGAGAACCATTAGTGGAGAATCAATTTGATTCTTGGCAAACCTTTTCCATTACATTTTCCCATCCTGCCAGGTTTTCTCTCCATAAGTTATTCCTAGCATTTAAAAATTCTGTTTCCAAGTTTGGAGATCATATCCAGTAACTGGGCCTTTGCGAATAGATGTAGCTTGTGTTTATTTTCTGTAATTTCATCAAGGATCAAGTTCCTTTGAAGTAAAATCAAGTTTGGGACCATTTAATGATTATTTCTTGCTAGGCATGGTGATGCATGCTTGCAATCTCATCAAAGGAGAGGCTAAGACTGGAGAATCATGAGTTCAAGGCCAGCCTTGGTTACTAGAGGTTCAGGGTTAGTATGGACTACATAGTAAAACTCTCTTAAAAAATGCAAAACAAATAAATAGTTAAAGATTTCCTTGGCTCAAATGACTTTATGTTACCTTTGCTTGGTAAAAATGTATTCATCAAATCATTACTGAGCATTTATTATTTGTGAGGTATTAATACTGTATGAGTACATTAATTGCTAAGGTGAATGAGGTTTTTATTTTGCCAGGCTGAATTCACAGTTTTAAGAGAGAAAACTGAGAAAGTATGGTAAATTTGATGGGAACAAAAGATACTTGTAGATATGGGAGACAAGTAACAGTTGCCTGAAGGAAGAGAAATTTAAAACTGAGCACAAGACTGGGGTGGTGGTGGTGGTGGTGGTGGTGGTGGTGGTGGTGTCAAATCAAATAAAAGAAGGAGGAAGACAAATATCTGAGATGGAGGACAGGGCCATGTAAACAGTCTTGAGCTAGTGAAGGATTGGCTATTCCTATAGTACTTTTGAACCATTCTGTTTGATGTTTTTGAGTTTTCATTTAAATATTTAAGATAAAAAAATAATTCATTTAGTTTTGTGTGTGGGAATGAGTGCCTTGACACACATGTGGAGATTAGAGGACAACTTTGGAGGGTTGGTTCTCCTTCTACCAAGGGGGTCCTACTTTGGCATTAAGGGCCTTTACCCACTCAGCTGTCTCACCAGCCCATCCACCTACATTAGTTAATTTTGAGACAGGGTTTTTAGTATGTCGCTCTTGCTGACGGGTCTGGAACCTGCCAAGTAGACCTGGCTGTGTGTGTGCTACCACATCCAACAAACTTTTTTTTTTTTCTTTTTTTAAGGGGTCTCTTACTTGGCCTGGAGCTCACTGATTCTGTTAGGTTGGCTGGCCAGTGAGATCCTGGGGCCCATGTCTCCTTCCCCAGTGCTGGGGTTAGAGACATACATCACTGTGCCTGGCCTTTATATGAGTTATAAGGATTTGAACTTACATTCTCATGAATGCTTGAATGGTAAGAACTTTACCAACTGTGTCAACTCCCCAGCCCCTCACTAAAATATTTTAAAGTTGTTGCCAGATGGTGGTGATACACACTTTTAATCCCAGCACTCGGGAGGCAGAGGCAGGAAATCTCTGAGTTTGAGGCCAGCCTCTTCCACAGAGATAGTTCCATGACAGCTAAGGCTACACAGAGAGACCCTGTCTTGAAAACCCCAAGATAAATACATAAATAATTTAAAGTTGTAAAGTTAATAAGTTAGAAAGTATGCCTTTTCTGTCAAACTGTATACTACATGTATGTTTATTATATATTTATATACATCTTGAATGTATTTTGATGCACGTTTCACTTCTATACTTATTGACAGAGCCAGTCCTCATTGCCTCTGTGGTGGGCCAGATTGGGTCCAGCAAGGCTGATCTCAAACTCAGGATCTTTCTGCCTCAGCTTCCCTAGTGCTGAGATTTTTTTGAATGTGTACTGCCACACCTGGCTTTCAGGCTTAAGTTTTTAAGATTTGCTTCATTTCTCCATTACCTTTTATGGAGGGTTAAGAAAATGAGACCTTGTATTTACCTGTGTGCTCCCATTGTCTGCGATCTAATCAGATTTCATCTGTGGGGTTTCCTTCTTCCCCAAGGGCTTCCCTAGCTTTGTTACAGTGTATCTGCTGATGCTGAACAATTAACTTCTGCATGTTTCAGGAGGCATGCTGCCTTTGTTTTCCAAGTATATGTTCACTGGGTATAGCTATTAGATCCACATTTCTTGGTAGTACTAGGAATTGCACCCAGGGTTTCATGCATGCTCTAGGCCAGTGTTTTACAGACTTCTCTGCCTAGGGTTTTAGTGGTTCTAAGATATTGCTTCCTTATCTTCTGGGCTACATTGTTTTTAGAGAGAAGTCCATGTTATTCTTCTGTATGTAAAAGTGATATTTTTCTTTGGCTGGATTCTTTAAAAAAAAAAAAGTGTTATTATGGGTTTGAAGCAACTTGACTGTCATTTAAGGTGTAGTTTTTCTTCTTTCTTTAAATTTTAAAGGTTTAATTTATTTATTTTTAATTTTATTCTTTACTTTTGTTTGCTCATTGCTGACATTTTAATACTATTTCTGCCCTCTCATCCATTGTGGTGAAAATGTGAGTTCATTTAATTTCTGCAGATTACATTATGGCAGCATATTAAAATTACAGCATCCATACCTTTGAGTGAGTATCTGGCAGATACACCCATACAGGGTAGAATCGTGAGTTTTCAAGGCAGTTCATTATAGTAGGGTAATAAATTGAGAATTATTATATAGTTGTATAAAAGAATGAAGTGCTTCTTTATGTATCTTTAAAATTATTTGTAGATTTATTTATTGGTTTATTTTTTTTTTTTTTTTTTTTTTTTTTTTTTTTTTTTTTTGAGACAGGGTTTTTCTGTGTAGACTTGGCTGTCCTGGAACTCATTCTGTAGACCTGGCTGGCCTCAAACTCAGCGATCTACCTGTCCCTGCCTCCCAAATTCTGAGACTAAAAGCATGTGACACCACCACTGCCTGGCAGATTAATTTATTTACCTGCAGGTCAGAAGATGGGTGTGGAATTTCTTGGAGGGGAATTATAGGCAGTTGTGAGCTACCTGTGTGGGTGCTGGGAACTGAACCTGGGTCCTCTTCAAGAGTGCTCTTAACTGTTGAGCCATCTCTTCAGCTCCAGGCCTGTGACTATTAAGACTGATTAGCAACTACATTAACTCAGGTATGATGATGTATGCCTCTAATCCCATCACTACTTGGAAGATGGAGGCTGGAAAAGCACAAGTTCAAAACCAACAAGGGCTACACAGTGAGTTCAAGGCTAGCCTGAAGTGCATTGTGAAGTCTTGTCCCAAAGAAAAGAATAGAAAAACTGGGGATGGGGTGGATGGGTGGGTAGAGGATTGAGATAGCAGGCATGCACAGTAGGTCTTTGTTTCTCACTGGTATCATTAGGTATGGCCTTAGGGTACCAGGGTTTATGTCTTAACTTAGTATTTTTTTTTAATTATAGTAGTACTTTATATGTCTTTTATAGCCCACTTCTTTTATATAGCTGAAATTCTCTTTTTAGTTTAATTCTTCCTATTAACAATGTAATGCTGCTTTATAGTTGTGGAAATTTTTGTATTTCATTTGATCTGCAAAACAATGCTATGAGTAGGACATTTTTTGCATATGATATTTTTTACTTTTTTTCAAATGAAGATGGGTAATATTGGAAAATTATTGTATTTTTAAGTAATTTGTTCTTATCTCTTTTAAGTTACTCAGTGAAAATAGTGGGTCTATTGAAATGAGATTAGAAGAGATAATCCATTCATTCTTTTCTATGAATGAATAATTGAATGAATGAGCATATTTTAGTAAGTAGGGTCAAGGGCTATACTTGCTTTATGCATTTTAAGTTTCTCTGTTGAATGAGTTCTCCCTACCTCCACCACCAAATCCTTGGCTGACTTAGTGGTCTGTATTAAACTATATTAGTACTAGACTGCTAATTATTGTAACAACATAATTTTATAGAGTTGTTCAAATGGCCCAAATCCACTTAGCTAGATGAGTTAAAAAAATTGTGTATTATTTTGTTCTTTTTTCCAATTCCTTTGTATTGTCTAATTATTAAATCTAACTATATATCAGGCATGTCACATGCTTTAAAACCCAGCACTTGAAAAGGCAGATGGATCTTTGAAGTTAAAGAGAATCTGGTCTAGATGGTGAGTTCCAGGTTAACTGGGGCCACATAGTGAAGAGAAAAAAGTTCACTACATAATATACTTTCGTGCTTTATTTCTAGGTGTTAACTCTGACAGGACCACAGTGTTTTTCAGTTCTTTATGTAATGTCTGTTGTGGGATGAGGAGGAACAAGGGAACAAAAGAATTCCAACAAAGGAGTTATAGAGATGTAGCCACCTAAATGTGCTAAAAGTGCTCTCACTTTTGTTGTCAAGAAGTAACAAAGAACAATTTATTCACAAGCCTACTGCATTGAGTGAATGAATACATGTACTGACGTTAGCTACAAATTTTAAAAGTCCATGCCCTGTCATAAATTGGGCGTGGCTATTTGCCATTAATGAAAAAGCCCCCCATAAATTCACGTGTGTGTGTGTGTGTGTGTGTGTGTGTGTGTGTGTGTATTTGTATTTGCATATGATGGTCATATATTTTCTTTTGCCTAAGGAGTTAATCTATTCTTTCCCCTAGGGTTGAGAATGCTTGCACTAAGCTTGTTCAGGCAGCCCAGATGCTTCAGGCTGACCCATATTCAGTTCCTGCTCGGGATTACCTCATTGATGGCTCTAGAGGAATCCTTTCTGGCACGTCAGACTTACTTCTTACCTTTGATGAAGCTGAGGTAGGTAATCTGAGGCCCTCAGAGACCTCTCTAGACAAAAGCCTAGTTTTAGATTTACTTTATTTTATGTGTGTTTATGTGTTTATGGGTGCCCATAAAAATCAGAAAAAGGTATCATATCCCTAGGGCTATAGTTATAGGCATTTGTGAGCCACCTGACATGACTGCTAAGAAGCAAACTGGGGTCCTCTGGGAGAGCATCATATGTTCTTGACCACGGAGTCATCTCTCTAGCTCCTAAAGTCTAATTTTAAAGGTAATAATAGAGGTGGGGCATGGTGGCATATGGCTTTAATTCCAGCACTCGGGAGGTAGAGGCAGGTGTATCTCTGGGAGTTCAAGGGCAACCTGATCTACAAAGCAAGTTTCAGGATAGCTGGGGCTACACAAATAAACCCTGTCTCAAGAAACAACAACAAAAAAGATAATGGAATCCCTGGATGATTTTCTTTAGAATGCTAAAATATTAAAAAGCAACGTATCTCTAATGCCATTTTCTATGTGCTATTCACTAATTTGACTGATTCCTTAAATATATTTTCAGGTTCGTAAGATTATTAGAGTTTGCAAAGGAATTTTGGAATATCTTACAGTGGCAGAGGTAGTGGAGACTATGGAAGATTTGGTCACTTACACAAAGAATCTTGGGCCAGGTGAGCCAAAACCAATTTTTGTATTAAAAGTCTTTCTGAATTGACTGTTTTGATTCAAGAGGAAAGGCTCCTCTTCTCTGACTAGCAGAAAATAGGGGATGCAGCATTGGGCTTCTCTGTGGACAGAGCTGATAATGGCTTTCTACTGCAGATATGTTGCAGTTCTACAAGTCCCAACCTTGTCAGAAACATTAAATCAGATTTGTGAATGCTGATGGGGGATGTAGGGAAGGCTTCTCTGTTTCTGTTATTGTAATGCTGAAGGCCATCCTCAATCCTCCTGGCCTCCACATTCCACATCCCACAGCATTCCTTCGCTGTCTGCCAGCTGGCTTGTAGCTCCTCATGACTTCTTAGTTGCTAATTAGCTGCGTACCATTATGGACTTATATGCCCTAGCCCAAGGCTGCAAAAATGTAATCAGACCTCAATGGAGAGAAAAGCTGTTGTGGTTAAATCTCATTTGAAATGATTATTTAGCCATCTGAGTATTGAATATTCAAAATATCCAAATGCCAGGGTTTGATCTTAATAGATATAACATGAACTCAAGAGTCCATAAATTATGAATAAGATTAATGAAAAGTTAATCTTGATGTTTATTCCTCTTTGAATTATTTTTTAATTGAAATGCTGGTATTTATTTAACAGTATCTTTCTAAGGGTCCAATGTAGTGGGGTTTATGAGCTTTACCACATTTTCTGAGTTGTTACTGAAAATCATTTGGAAATGGTATTCTTTTTTTAAATAGCTGTACAGGTGTGCTGGGGGATGGCTGGGTGTGTTTGGCAGTGTTAGAGATTAACTCAGGCCTAGTGCATGCTAGGCAAGTGCTCTACCACTAGGGTACACCACTAGCCGAGACCTGTGTTCCCATTCTTTAACACTGGAAAAAGTTTATGTTTTTCTCATGTGACTTTATGCAAAACCTAACAAAAATAAAGGTACTCTGGGTGAAGCAGAAGCAACCCACCTTTCTGCCTCTATTTGGTTTTGATGCTCCATAAAATTATGAAATCCTAGGGGTAACTTGAAAATTAAAGCTTAAAACAAAAATCATTTTGCTAGCCAGTGAGATGGCTCAACTGATAAAAGCACATGGAGCTGAGCCTGCCCACCTGTCTTCCATTCCCAGGAACCACATGGTAGAGGGAACTGACCCCTGCAAATTGTCCTCTGACTTACACATATACTGTGGCACACGTGTGTGTCCTCACATATACATACCTTTAAATAAATGAATGTAATTTAAAAATCACTGTGCACTTTTGAATAATGACCAAAATAAACAGATTGATTCCAAAATACCAGATGCTTAAAAAGCTGCTGCCACTGTACTTTTTATAATATTTCTATTTTGTTTCTTATTTTAAGAGTAGTATATGCTTATTTGGATCAACTTGAAAAATTCAAAAAATATTACCAAGTAAGAATAAAACACAAGGCTCAGGAGGCATAGGTGCATGCTGTTAAGCTTGATGACCTGAGTTCTGTCCCCAGAACCCATGCGGGAGGAGAGAAGCAACTCCTGCAAGTTAACCTCTAACCTCTCTCCATAGGTGCACCATGGCACACATATATTCTCTCAATATACAGAACGAATGAATGTTAAAAAACAAAACAAAAAAGCACACTCTAATCCAGCCTAACCTACTGTGGTTAGAATTCTTTCTGAAATTTTTGCATAGCACAGTATACTAGCCAGATATACAATATGAAACCTGTATGCATACAAATGAAGATGATTACATTTAGGATTTTCCTTTAATAAATTACCTTTGCTGAAAAGTATAACATTGTATAAAATGCTAGTATTGTTGTAATAATGTCTGTCTTTAAATGTATAGACAGTAGGTTGAGCTTTTTGTAGTAAGTCACAATGGATTTAGGTCAAAAAGGCCAGATTCTGGTTTGTTTCACCACTCATCCTGTATAATTTCTTCTTGTGCCCCAGGAATGACTAAGATGGCAAAAATGATTGATGAGAGACAGCAGGAATTGACTCACCAGGAACACCGAGTGATGCTGGTGAACTCAATGAACACCGTCAAAGAACTGCTTCCTGTTCTCATTTCAGGTACTTCCTGCTTTGATTATAGGATGAGGGGAATTGGATGTTGTAACTCAGCCTGCCCTTTGCTCCTTTACACAAGGTGAAGATGAGATGTGACTGAATGTTACTATAACATGTGGGCAGCAGGCAAAGGATGACAACTCTATAGTCATCATTTTGAATGTTCTTTTGCTGTCTGCTTTCTTAACTACCAAAAGAAATTTGCACTTACTAAGTGTCAGTATATGCCAGTACCTCATTGTTCATGCCCATGTCATAGACAGGTTGTGAGTTATTTAGTTTAATTCCCAGAAGACAGTTGTATTTAATTTTTATGAAGCATGTCATTGTCAGCCTCCAGTACCTTCAGTTCCAGGGGCTCCAGTACCCCCTTCTGGTCTGGGCACCTGTACACACTTGGTATACAATCATACATACATACATATGCATAAACAAAAAGATTATTTATTTATTTTGGTTTTTTTGAGACAGGGTTTTTTCTGTGTAACTTTGGAGCCTGTCCTGGAACTTGCTCTGTGGACAAGGCTGGCCTGGAATTCACAGAGATTCACCTGCCTCTGCTCACCGAATTCTGGGTTTAAAGGCGTGAACCACTACTGCCCAGCTTGATTAAATTTTTTTAATTAAAAACTTTTTTTGGGTGTTTTTTTTGTTTTTTTTTTGTTTTTTGTTTTTTTTTGATACAGGGTTTCTCTTTTATGTAGCCCTAGATGCCCTAGAACTCACTATGTAGACTAGGCTGGCCTTGAACTCACAGAGGTCTGCTTGTCTCTGACTCTTAAATGCTGAGATTAAAGATGTGTTCCATCTTTAAGCCTGGTGGTGGTGGAACACACCTTTAGTCCCAGCACTTGGGAGGCAGAGGCAGGCAGATCTCTTTGAGTTTGAGGTCAACCTGGTCTGCAAAGCTACACAGAGAAACTCTGTCTCGAAAAACAAAAAACAAAACAAAACAAAAATCCTAAAAACAAGGAAAGAAAGAGAGAAAAAGAGGGAGAGAGAAAGAGGGAGAGCAAGAGAGAAAGAGAGAGAGGAAAAGGAGAGAAAAGAAGGAAGAAAGAAAGAGAAGTCACTCATACACATTGAGAGAACTCCTGGAAGATACACTGACTTACTTTTCTGAGGTCTACCATGGTATTGGGGGTAGCAGGCTACTCACAGTTTTATTGGTGTTTTTTATTCTGTCCCAGTAGATTTTCAGTGGATAGAGGCCATGGTGGTATCAGAATGATAATGACTGAGAGATCAAGTACTTTGTGATTGTAGATCCTCTGTGAGTGTGTTAAATTAGTTCCCTAATGACATGGTGATGCTTTCTTTACATCTTGAATTTTCTTTGCAGTGAAAGTTCCTGATGCTGGAACTGACCAGCAGATTTGCAGTGTTTGTCTTATATATTCTTTTTAAGACATTACAAGACCAAAATAAATGTTCAAAGTATGAAACATCATCAGTGAATATCACTAAACAACAAGTTTAAATTTCAGGCCAACGAGATGACTCAGACTGAGACCCACCCAGATGGTAGAAGAAGAGAACTGACCCCCTCCCCCTACCTCTGACCTCCACATCATTTTTTAAAAGATCAAATTCTGATCTTTTATTCATTTCTATAGCCATGAAGATTTTTGTTACAACCAAAAACTCAAAAAACCAAGGAATAGAAGAAGCTTTGAAAAATCGAAATTTTACTGTAGAAAAGATGAGTGCTGAAATTAATGAGATCATTCGTGTGTTACAACTCACTTCTTGGGATGAAGATGCCTGGGCCAGCAAGGTAAGTCTTACTAGAGGAAAAATAATAATAATAAAAAAATAAATTCTGCACTCCTAGGAGATTTTGATTGCCATTTGTCTTAAGTTTTATCTTGTAGCTGTATATACCTAATAATACACAGGTTTTGTGGGAACAGTTTCTTGCTCATTTGTTTTATGGGTTACTTATCACCTTTATACATTTCTTGTGTTCCAAAGTGGACTCTACAGGTATATAGGATTACTTGTGGTAGAAGGCTGAGGTGTGTAGACTTCCTTCAGGTTCAATTCTCATTGGTTGAGTTGGTAGAGGAATTGGGGTATCATACTTCCCTGGGTGGGATCAATGCTTTTTATAGGGGTGATTGTTGCCAGGTAACTTAAGAAAAACAGAGAACATGCCTATAATTATGTACTTTATGAAGACTTGTCCTTAGTCAACTTTTGATTAAGAGGAACATACAGAGGAAACTCTCAGGATTTTTAGATGTGTTGCTTGAGCATTCTTTTAATTAAAATATTGGTCCTCATATTTGCTAGCTAGTTTACAGATCCCTTTGCCTTCTGTGGAAACTCTCCTTAGACTCCATAGGGAGTCCATTAATTTGGTTTCCTTTTAGAGCCTATTGGTAGTTGTTTGGAGTTGTTGCAACTCTGGTCTGCTTATTCCTATGCAGTGGCAAAGCTTCTGGGTATGGGGAAGCCAAGACATTTTGGTTTATACTAGCCTTAGAGAAGCCCAGGATGCAGGCAGGGGGAGGGGGGCGCCCGAGATGCCCCATCTCCAGGATCTAGCTTTTCCATATATGACCCAAATGTTGTCACCAAGGTCGCCCAGCTGGTTGTTAACAGAAAAAGTGACTTCTGTTGGCTATTCATTAGGGCTGTTTTTCCTCCAGGACCACATATAAGGTAAGGTCAAATTTGGTGCTGAACATCACCAGTCTTCCCTCCTGCTGCTCAGAAAGCTGATTTTAGCTGTGCATAATCAATTAGTTTACTTTTATCTATAGATTTATTTCCAGAGGTGTTTTCTCATTGAAGTATGTTCTTGAACTGGTTCTAAAATTGTATTTTAAGTTTTTATGAAAGAAATCATCTTAAGTCTCTGATATTTGATTTAATTTTGCTTTTGCTTGATAACTTTCACTTCCCAATGACTTCTTTGTGCATCTTTTTTTTTTTTGTTGTTGTTGTTGTTGTTCTCTTGTTTGTTTTATTCTTTTCTCGAGCTTAGAAGGTAAGCCTTCTCTTGCCCTTTAGTTTCTTTTTCGCTTAAAAAGAGAAAAAGCATGTCTGTGAGGTTTTCTTGTGCTGTGTGCTGTGTCATATTTTGTGTGCCGGCGTGTAACACTGTGCTTGGATATGTGGCAGGATATGATTTAATGTTGGACAGACTGACTTTGGCTCTTATGGAATTGGTAATTTTGGGTGGGTGGGACAAAACAGAAAAGATTGCTATGGCATATCAGGCTTTCTGTATTTCGTAGGTGCTCTTGTCTCTTTGAGCAGGGCCCTTAAGAACATTTTTTACCTGTTCTTCCCCACTGACCTCATCTGAAGGTTTCCCTAGGTAGCTGGATTGGTTACCTGTGGATCCACCAGCTCTTGGGAAAGAAGACATGAGATAATACTGTATCCATGCCTCTCCTAACAGTCATCTTTGTAGGCCTTGACATTTTGCTTTTGGAGATGTATTGTTGAAGTTTTTACCTGTAGTGAAAGTGAGTAGGCTAGAGAGCTGTCCTGCTTATACTACCAAAGCCAAAGAGGACAAGAAGTATAGAATAGTGATTTTTTTCTTCTTCTTACCTTTAGTTGGTGGCTTTCTGCATATTCTGTTGCCTAGGCTGTGAACCAGCCGTAATTCAATGATTTCAGGTTCACCTAATCTCTTTCCTTGGCTTCTAGCAGATGAGAAACTAGTAAGGAGGAACAGACATTAAATCATAATGTTTTTTTATTTTGGAGGGAAAAAATAATCTACCATTTAGTGAATACGTGTTATTGAGTTTATTTTCTGCAACTGCCATAAAAAATGCTTTTTAAAAAACAAGCAAGCAAAACCCTTGAGTTTAGTGGGTTTTCAGTCTAGGATAATGGACTTAAGCAGAATGGACAAGGACAATCAGCCTGGTCCTCATCAGCTGTCTTGTACCTGTCCCATATTCATGTTACTCTGGAGGAAGCTGGCTAATTAGTATGATACAAAACTAACTTCAAAAGAAGCTCAACTACATGGCATTAGAATGAACAGGAGGAACTTTTTTTTATCTGACTGCTTTTGTCATACACTTGTTTCAGAAATCAAAATAGGATAAAAAGATGCACACAAGTCACTGCCTATGGCCCTTTCACCTTCCTACTCTACCTCTACTTAACCTTGTGTGTAAACTCTTAAAAACGCTTTAGTAGTTATAAGAATATTTGGAGAAAGAAATTTTACCCTGAAAATGGACAGTGGTAACTAGGGTATTGGCTTTTTTTTTTTTTTTTTCTAAAGTAGGATTTTGAATCTTGCTTTCTTAAACTGTAAGCAGTGAATTCACCAGATCTGGGGTCTGTCTGTTGCCACCAGGTTCCCATTCTGTTCAATGCATGGTGTCTTTCTCCACCTCTTGCCCCTACTGATAGTAATTAACTTTGTCTTCCCGTACTTGTTTCATGCTTCCCCATTGGTGCAGTGTTCTTCTGGAAAGTGAAGGTTCCTCTAGAAAAGTGGGGGAAGAAAGTAAGTGGAACAAATTCTCTGTAAAAATACGTCTTCTGAATAAGTTCAGATTTTGACGAGGCAATGCATAGCTGAATAGTGTATCTGTTATACCAACCTTCAACTTGTAGATTCACACATTTTGTAGTAACTTTAAACACTTCATTTCTATTGAAAGTAAAAATTCTCCCTTGACTCAACAGTCATCATTAAATCGAAGCCAGCATTTTTTCCTAGGACAACACTATGAATCAAAGGAACATGAGTTAAATACAACTCTTACTTTACTCTGCAAATTTAGAACTCTATACTTAATCTTTAAAAAAATCTGCTTATGTTACTTGTATCTTGATATGTGTTGGGAGCTGAGAGGAAAATAAAAGCATTTCATTGGTAAGATTTTTTGAGCCTTACAGAGGTAGCCTTTCAGGTTGAGTCATTAGATACTGTGATTCTTGTTTGGTTATGGTAGTGAGTCTCCTGCTGGAGTCAAGGCTGACTATGGGCAGCAGTGACTAATTAGGATGTCTTCCACATAAGATCACTCTACTTTTTACCACAGAAGGAAATGCTGGTTAGATTGTGCTGTCCTGTAACACCCTCATTTCAGACCATTGGGATTTAAGGGTTGAATTTAATTTTGATGACCTTAAAAAAGATCAGGTTATATATAAGCATAAAACATTTCTTTTTGAGTGTCCTCAAGTTTTGTTTTAGCCTTCAGAAGAGTAAGAAATTTGTCTATAGGAGTTTGGCTAGATAGTTTAACACAGGCATTTATGGTGTTCTGTTCACCTTTCAGGGAGGAAATCCTCAAATGCTAAAGGAATTGGTGTTTCCTGTCTGATCTAGGTTATCTTTAGCTGGCCCATCTGTGAGTGTGCCCACAATGAGCATAGGTGTTTAGAGTTGTGAAGCTTTTATCAGAGAGGACAAGACAGCTTTCTCATAGGTCAGTCTGTTCTTTCCTGAAATATCTTTGTTTTAAAACATTGGAATGGTGCTTGCAGAAATGTGATCTGAAAAGTAGAACTGGTAAAGTTAGAAGAAGGAAAAGGTTGGACAATAGTTTCCATATTTAAATTTTTTAACTTAAAAATACTAGCATTATAGGACTCTGCTTTTCTTTTTAAATTTATTATTTTTTTAGATAGGGTCTCTCTATGTAGTTCTGGCTATCCTGGAACTTGCTATTTAGACCGGGCTGGCCTTGAACTCACAGAGATCCTCTTGCCTCTGCCTCCAGATTTCTGGACTCCACTTTTCTAACTGCAGTTACTCTGGATTTTCTAGAGGGAGAATCTCAATATTATTCACAGGTACTTTTGAGGCCTGAACATGTTCTTGGGGAGGTACATACAGAGGGTCAATACAAACTGACTTCTAGTCATAATGCTAGGGAACCTATTTATATCATGTCTGCTGTTAGTGCACTTAGGTTACTCATGACAGGATTTTGTTGATTTCATCATAAATACTGCCTTTAAAAAAAAATACATGTGAGATTCTTTGGAGACAAACAAATATATGTCCCTATAAACACTTTTGCTTTTGATAGGACGATTAGTGCTCTGCTCCAAAAATATTTTATGGAGGTCTTTTAGTGACTGTTATAAATCTTTCTGACTGTCTAAATCATATGCTTTAAAAACCAGAAGGATGGAGAGATGACTCAGAGGGTAAAGGCACCTGCTACCTAGTCTGATGATCTAAGTTTGATCCCTGGGACCCACATTGTCAGAGAATTGACTCCATTAAACTGTCCTCTGACCTTATACATATGCTGTGGCACACTCTCACCCCCCCCCCACTAAACAAAACTATAACAACAACAACAACAAAAGGCAACTTAGAACCTAACTGAAATTCCCAGCTTTAAAAATGCAGCTTCAGGGCTGGAGAGATGGTTCAGAGGTAAGGGCACTTCCAGAGGACCTGAGTTCAATTCCCAGCAACCACATGACAGCTCACAGCTGTCTGTGGCTCCAGTGCTAGGGGATCTGATGCTCTCTTCTGGCTTCCATAGGGCACCAGGCCTGCACACAGTGCACAAACATACACACAGGCAAAACACCTATAATCATTTAAAAATTGCAGCTTCATTCCATGCTTGCCTTTGGTTCAGTGTAGGGAAAATGAGCATCTGCTAATTTTAACTTCCTGGTGTTGTCAGATCTACTCAGAAGAAAATTACTCTCTTCCTGAGAATCATATTCCTTCTTTGCTCGTAGTGAAGGGGCCATTTGAGCTTAGAGAAAAAGGAATGATTTTCGAGGAGCAAAGCTTGTCTTCCCATTGTGTTTAAAAACATTTCGGGATCTTGGGGATAAAAGCAGTCATTTATGTTAGTGCAGCCTGTGAGTTTGATTTTGGGGCTTCTTTTGTGAGAAGTAGTAACAGGAGCTCATACTGACAAGGTGGAGATCTGCTGACTGCTGCAGAAGGTTTGCGGCATATTTGGCAACTCTTGGAAAAACAAAAAGCCAAACAATGACAAACAAAAACCAGAACAAACCGAGTTTCCTGTGATATAAAGTAAGAGGTTGGAGTCAGCAAGCTTAAGATCTAATGGTCCTAACAGTAATTCCTCGTTTCTTAATTTGTAAAACAAAATTAAACCTGAGATTCAGTGAAGTAATTGAAGGGAAAATATGGCTTCAACGGAATCTACCTGCAGGAAATTCAAGGAACGTTATCTCCCTAACCAGTAGCTTTTACAGCTAGATTAGTGCTAGAATATATCTGACTTTTTGAAAATATGTCATTTTCTTTGGAATTTAGACTTTTAAATGTAGACGAATGTCTATTGGTTTTGTAAAATAGACCAAAATGTCTATTGTAAAATAGACTAAAAGTAAAAGTATCACTGTTGGGTGATGGTGGTGCACACTTTTTTGATCCCAGCACTCAGGAGGCTGAGGCAGGTAGATCTCTGTGAGTTCCAGACCAGCCTGGTCTACACACAGAAACCCTGTCTCGAGAAACAAACAAGCAAAAAAAGTATTATAGAAATATCAATTAACAGAGATTTAAATTTTACATTGGCATGATTCCTCTTTTCCAAGGTAGGTACATATTTCCAAAGAGAAAGCTTATTGGGTAAACCAAGTCCACACCAAGACAACTTGTAAATCTTAAAACTAATGTTAAATACTAAAAGCTGTCCAGTTAGTTCTTTGAGGTTAGGAGTTACTTTAGAGTCTTAAAAAAGATAGCTGTTTGGGCCTTTCTTATTTGGAAATCAGTTTTGTGTTACTTCCAGGGGCAAGGTTTGCTGTGTAAATTAATGAACAACAAAACGGGGGAAAGGAAACAGATTTAAACAATATTAGCAAATCACCTAAAGCTACTACTCTCCTATTTTACTAGGTATAAATGGACTTTGGACTAGATCTTCATGATGCTGCCTTACATTGGTAGCTGTCATAATTCCATATAACTTGGTAACTTTTTACCTTTTTGTTATGTCTGAGAAAAAGTTAGAATGAGAGAGCTCTCTCTACCTTACTAGACGGGAGAGAATGGAATCCTAAAGCAGACACTCTGTCTTGAGTAGGTATTTTAGAAATGCTGGGGTTCAGCTGCTGCTGATTTTTAACCTGTGAATGTTGCCTTTGTGTTAATGGTAGCTGTTTGAATTGGAAGTAGGGATGTGCCTGGTGCCTCCTTGTGGAAGCTTGATGGTATGACAACTATAGGATTGGAAATTGAAGAAAGCTTAGAGATGGGGCATTGACTAGAATTTTAGAGGTTAACATTATACTTTGGGTTGACTCAGAGTCAGTCCTCTAGTGCAAAAAGTAGATAGACTGATTTTTAAGTGGAGATTTAAGAGATGGTCAGTCTAGGGCCAGTTGTAGTGGCATACACCTTTAATCCCAGAATTTGTGAGGCAGAAACAGAGACAGGCAAATCGTAGTGATGCTAGGTCTACATAATGAGTTCCAGGGAAGCTAGGGCTACACAGTTATACCTGAAAGAAACAGACAGGGACAGACGGGTGGGGAGACAGAGACAGAGAGATAGTGTACCAATTCTAAAGATTGGTACATAGATATTTTTATTTTGTCCTTTCCATTTTTTGTATTAAAAATTGATTAAGCTGGGAGTGGTGGCACATACCTTTAATTGGTAAATTTCAGTGAGTTCAAGGCCAGCATGGTCGACATAGCAAGTTCTGGCCAGCCAGAGCTAAACCTTGGAGTCATGAGAATGGAAGCTGTGCTACTCACAAAGTGCAACAATCTGGAGAGTGGACCCTGTACCTTTCCTGGGCAAAGCAGGTGGTGTTTTGTGTTCCTGGTGGTGTGCATGTGGGTGAACTGGCCACAAGGGTGTGAGAGCAGGAGAACTGGCCCCTTTCTTTGCTGTCTGCTACATTGAGTGAAATAGCCAGGGCAGTGTTGGAGAGCTCGCCCAGATTGTGACAATGAGGGAAAGCTGGCAGGCCAACCAACCCAGCTAACATCGAGGCCCAGAGATAGGACTATGAGTTAGCTCACCCCAATACCCACCTCATTTATGACCACTGTCTACCCCAATTCTCTTTACACGTTGTTTCCTAGCTCTATATATCCTGGGGATTTTATGTTAGTTTTATGCTTATCATCATAAATCCTAGTTATAAGCAATACATTGAGATCCATGTATTAGGGATGGCAAGTGATCTAAGGATAAAAAGGAAAGTGATAGCTGGAAAGGCCAGCAGTGTGCTTTCTTCTTGTATAACTTTCAGTGGTTTATTTTGAGAACTAAAAACAAAATGGTTACATTAACACCTTCTATTTATTTTTTCCAACAAGTAATTCCAAGTTTTTTATTAATTATATATAATAAAACATGATCCTCTGTGTGTGTGTGTGTGTGTGTGTGTGTGTGTGTGTGTGTGTGCGCGTGCGTGCGCGCGCGCCTGCGGCTGTATTTCAAAACAAGAAATGAGAGAACTGTGCTTTGTGGCACCACATACTAATGAGGCTTGCCTATAGCAGAGAGGGCTCTGGCAAGGCTTCAGCTGATGGGTGTTGACTGGTGGAAAAGCTGATAAGGAAGCATGAGGCAGTAAGGCTTTTTCCTGCTGAAGACATTAGACATTTCTTGGCTTGAGCAGTTTTTTAGGTTATTGCAGCTTTAGCAATGGAGACACAGGAGGCAGGATAGAATTAACTGGAGAGTTGCATGCGAGATGTTGCATTTTGACAGACACAGGGATTGTGGTGTCATGAGATTACTTTAAGGCTGTTGTAGGACTGCCTTAGCTGTTGTGCGTTAGTGCTGTAACTACCTCTCTGTAAAAATTGGGAGACCATGATACAAAACAGACAAAATAACTGTGGGTTTCTCTTCCAAAGGACACTGAAGCCATGAAGAGAGCCCTGGCGTCCATAGACTCCAAACTGAACCAGGCCAAAGGTTGGCTCCGTGACCCCAATGCCTCCCCAGGTAACCCTGCATTCTTCTTTCTTGAAAAATAGACAGCTAAAATACAAGCAAATGAAGGAGTGAAACCTTTATAACCTCAGCATCCTGAGGTAACTATAGCATCCCATCATAGTTCCCAGTAACTGAAACATTCCTGGGTCTTAAGGGATGAAGGCACAGGCCTTATCACCTCTGTCATGAAATAATAAAGCTAAGCAGCCATTCCTTGAAAGATTACTGGTTTATTCATCCCCTGAGTCAGAAAGGTAATTTTTTTGAATAAAAGCTCTTTTTTGCTAGTTCTAGTTGGGCAGACAACTATTTATGTCAGCAAAGGACTCAAGCAGATTGTGCAGTGATGTCTACAAGAATTGTAAAATGACTATGTAAAGATAAGACCCAAGTAGGTTATTGAGCTTGGTTTTTCTGATTTAATATTTATTCCATTTTAGATTGTTTGAACAAATGTGAAAAGCCTAATGGAAGTTGGGGGTGCCAAGACTCTTTTTTCATCATCCACATTTTTAAAAAAAATTTTTGTATTTTTTTTTAAGATTTTTTTTTATTTATTATGTATATAGTCTTCTGCCTGCATGCCAGCAGAGGGCACCAGATCTCATTCAAGGTGGTTGTGAGCCACCATGTGGTTGCTGGGAACTAAACCCAGGACCCCTGGAAAACCAGTGAGTGCTCTTAACCACTGAGCCACCCCTCCAGCCCCATCATCCACATTTATGTTCGTTGATTCAATTTGCCAGTATTATTTTTTTATTAGTTCAGATTAGGAACAAGCTTGCTTCACATGTCAATCCCTTCTCCCTCTCCCTCCCCTCTCCCCCAGCCCACCTCATACAACAGCTAAGGCAGTCCTACAACAGCCTTAAAGTAATCCCCTTCACGTGGGATGGGCTCTCAATGTCCCTTCTTACACCAGGGAAAAATACTAATCCACTACCAGGGGCCCCTTAGAGTGTGGAGGCCTCCTAATTGACCTCCATGTTCAGGGGTCTGGATCAATCCTGTGCTGGCCTCCCAGACAGCAGTCTGGGGTCCATGTGCTCCCCCTTGTTCAGGCCAGCTGTTTCTGTGGGTTTCTTCAGCCTGGTCCTGACCCCTTTGATCTTCATTCCTCCCAGTCACAAAAAGACAAACATGGTATGTACTCACTCATATATGAATTTTAGACATAGAGCAAAGGATTACCAGCCTACAATCCTCTTCACCAAAGAAACTAGGAAACAAGAAGGACTCTAAGGGAACAATGCATCATCCACATTTTTATGTCAAGCCACTTCACATCCCCGAGCAGATAGGGTGCCAACTACCTTTTTCAGCAGGGCCTGTGGTTAAAACTTCACCTCATGGTTGGGAGGCACTGTGTTGCTGCTAGCTGTCAAATGGAAGGCCATCTATCACTTTTCTGTTAAAGTCATCCATTCCTTCATGAATGAAATGACTTGTAAAGTAACCTCTCTGAATAATTGATATGCCTACAATGTAGATATTGAATACCTCACTATTCTAGGGGATGCTGGTGAGCAGGCCATCAGGCAGATCTTAGATGAAGCTGGAAAAGTTGGTGAACTTTGTGCAGGCAAGGAACGCAGGGAGATCCTAGGAACCTGCAAAATGCTAGGGCAGATGACTGACCAAGTGGCTGACCTCCGAGCCAGGTAAGGTTCTTCTGCTTTTCTCAAACCAGGAGTGAACAATTCACTCTTAATGAGGTGATTCAAAATGCAGATCCATGCCAGTTTTACTGAATTGTCTTTTGCTGATAATAAAACTGTTAAATATTCAAAGACTAATGAAGTTAGAGCTTATTTTGTAACTGATTTTTAAAAATGTTTTAGCTAGAGTTTTATGAAGAATAAGGGACAGAGCTGAAGTCTGACCAAATTATCTACCTTTATAAAAGATGGATGGGTAGAAAGAAATCTCAAAGAGTAGCAACAGGGCTAGAGATGTAGCTCACTTGGTAGAATGCTTGTTTAGTATGCATGAATCTCCGATGCTAGCACCCATCAACCAGGCAAGGAATATATGCCTGGAATCCCAGAACTCAGGAGGTGGAGGCAGGAGGATCCTCAGCTACTTAGTGAAGTGAAGGCCAACCTGAGCCGCATGAGATACTGTTTTTTCATTTTGTGTTAAAATTTATTTTTAAAGTTGTTAATATTTTATTATTTTTGTGTACACACTTATATTCTCTGAGCCCATCTCACAGGCCCTTATATGTTTTTATATACCCTTTTATCCTTCTCAAGTCTCAAGTTTTTATATATCCTTTTATCCTCCAGCCCCATATAAATTCACTTACAGCGTGGCAGACAATTTTCACTTGGAATTCTCAAAAACACAGTTGTGAATATAAGCAAAAGAAAGACATGGTTATATGGGAGAGTCCACTAATCTGTCAAGAGAAAAGGCTAGACCAGAGATCAGTAATTGCGACCCTGCTTCACAATGGAGCCTGTGTTATCCTTTCATCTCTTCCCATTGTTTTTTCTTATATGTACCCAGCTGTTTTATCATTTTGATGTCTGAAACACAGTAACTTTTTCTTCATTGATTTCTAGGTTTTAAGAATACATTTTTGTCTGCATAGAACTCAAAACTTCTTAGTTCAAATTTTGCCCATATATGTTCCTACCTTTTCACAGTTAGATTCATATTCATATCAGAAATATCCCTCATGACTAATTGCTGTATTTGAGTGAAATAAAAGAAACCGTGGGCAGTATTTCCTCAGTCTTCTATTTCTTGTCAGGTTGCGGGCAGGCCTCAAGTATGAGATGAAGGCTTATGTATGAACCTGGCAATACAGTTATGGAGCTCATTACTTACAGTGTTGGTATAGATGGATTTTTAAAAAGAAGGCAAAGGGGTTGTTGGGCAGATCATTAAGTCAAACAAATGTGAAGGTCCTTAGAAGCTATGTTAAAAAAGTCAGACCCCTTAGTACCCTGGGTCTACAGTTCCATTGCCAGTGAGGGAGATAGGCACATTCCTGGGAATTTTGTCCAGCCAGCCTAGCCTAATCAGCAAGTTTTAGACCAGCAAGAAGTCCTGTGTCATAAAACAAGGTGGATGACAGCTGAGAAATGACACCCATACATTGGCATATACACATGGACACAAACATGTACATGTACACATACACACAGAAAAAGACAGATTTGGGGCTAGAGAGATGACTCAATGAATAAGAGCACTGACTGCTCTTTCAGAGGACCTGGGTTCAGTTCCTAGCACTCATATGGTAGCTTACAACTATCTGTAGCTGTAGTTCCAGAGGATTCGACGCCCTCTTCTGGTCCTGTAGGCCCTGCATGCACATGGTTCACAATCAGACATTCAGACAAAACACCCATACACATCAGTAAGAATAAATGCCATCTCAAAATTTTTTTTGAAGATAAATAATAGTTTCATTTTACTGTTAAGGAAGCAAGGGTGCTTTGGAGTTTTCCTAAAGTTAGAAGCTCAGATTTGAATGAGTCTTGTCATTCTTTAAAATGATAGAATTGTCACACCCATGATTGGCATTGTTAGCCTAGGTGGATTAAAATAAAAGTGCTTTGTGGCCTAGAAAGTCTGTTAAGGGAATGGTCTTTACTCAGTCCCATCATTTTTTTTGCAGTAGTAGAATGCCATTTCTGAGAGAAGGAAATGTATCAGTTCTTTAAAGACTTCACAGGAAACAGTGTGCTGTTTTTCTTCTTCAGTACTAACTCGATACATAGTAATGAAAGATAATACATTAATATTATCATTGCAGGGCTGGAGAGATAGCTAAGCAGTTAGGAACATTTTCTGCTCTTCCATAGCACCCAGGTTCAGTTCCCAGCACTCATGTGGCAGCTTACAGCTGTCTGTAATTCCAGTTCCTGGGATCTGGCACTCTAACTGGTTTTAGTGTGGTATATCTTTTCTTACTATATACACTATGTTCTGAAATAATTTCAATGTACGATCCTCCATAAATAATACAAGTCAATGAAAGCACATATTACTGTAGTAACAAAGCCCTCTGTATCAGTAAGATCTCCAGAAAATTATCCTGCTGAAGTTTATGTTTGGTTATGTAGTCAAGAATAATTATCATCAAATTTTGCTATCCTGGCTTCCAAATCATTAAATAGTTTCCTAAAACTAATGACATGGTAGTTCATGCTTATAATTTTAGCGCTTGGGAAGGAGAAACTGAAAGATGAGGTGTTCAAAGATAGCTACAATTACATAAGACCTACTCTCAAAAAATAAAACATTATTTTTTGTAGGTAGTTTGGATGTTTTCATTTTTTTAGTTTTCTTATTTTGTCTGAGCTTACTGGGGAAATATAAAAACACACACATTAATAAAAATGACACATACTGGGTAAAGGGGTATTTGCTATTGAGAATCTGAGAGGATATAATGACCGTATCTGTCATTCTGAGTAGAGGACAAGGAGCCTCTCCAGTGGCTATGCAGAAGGCGCAGCAGGTGTCTCAAGGTCTCGATGTGCTCACTGCGAAAGTGGAAAATGCAGCTCGGAAGCTGGAAGCTATGACAAACTCAAAGCAGAGTATTGCAAAGAAGATTGATGCTGCCCAGGTAAGGACCATTCTCAGTAGGACAGGCAGGAGAAGAGAAAGAGGAGGGTTATTAAATATCTGGCATCTTTTTCTACACTGCCCTTTGCCATCATCTACTGTGGCTAGATGTAGATGCTCCTTAGTGATGACCGATTCCTAGCAGCTTCCAATGGTGATACCTGCACCATCAAAATTTTAGATTCATGTTTGTCTACAATTTGAAATATCTTAATTTTCAGTACTTCAGCTAGTTTTATTCCTTTTTGTTGTTTGTCTTCTTTTTGTCAATTTGGGTATCAAACTCAGGGCCTTGTGCATGTTAGTCAGGCTCTGTATAATTGGGCTAAAAAGCACAGCCTGAGAATTATTTTAATGGAAATCACAGGGCTGGTAGCATAGCTAAGTAGTAGGAATGTATGTCTAGGTTTGATCTCCAGTACTTGGGGTGGTGGAGGGTATGACATAATGGTATGCAGAAAAGACAAGGTGGAGTGATTTGATCTTACCTGAGCTAAGAACCTGTGTAAAATTATTAGAATTAGTACTCTAAAAACTACTGCTATTATGCTATATTTCTATTGGCTTCATTAAGTTTAATTAAGTGTGCTGTGTGATTAGAGCTATTTCTGATGGCTTTGTATGTTTAAATGTGGTTCATGAGAAGATGACGTTGTCCACTTTGGTGTGTAGAATTGGCTTGCAGATCCAAATGGTGGACCTGAAGGAGAAGAACAGATTCGAGGAGCTCTGGCTGAAGCTCGGAAGATTGCAGAATTATGTGACGATCCTAAGGAAAGAGATGACATCCTTCGATCCCTTGGAGAGATAGCTGCTCTGACCTCTAAATTGGGAGATTTACGAAGACAGTATGTATTTAATTTCTTAGTCCCACATTAGTGTCTCTCCATCTCATCTCCCATAAACTTTCCCTCTCTTCTACTCTAGGCATATGTAGAGTTGAATCCCCATCAGTTAGATGCTTATCTAATCCCCAAAATGTAGCTCCTTGGACCCTACCTCAGATGTAATGTATGGTAATTGCATGTTGGATCCCCATAGGCTAAATAGGTTTGTGACTGGCTAGGTCAAATGCGCCTCTGTGTATCAGTGATGTAATTAAACTTTCATAATTTATTGCTGATCATATAGTTTTAAATGAGCACATTTAGTCTGCTGTGAACTCATTTTCAAGCTCTATTTTCATTTTTTCTAAAGTAGGACTTTCCTTGCTATATTATATTTGTTACATGTCTGTCCTAGACATGAGGAAAATCATTGTTGTAGTTAGCTATGAAAAGACTGCTGCATGTATATGTGAGCGAGACAGGAGGCATACTTTCTCCCTTTCCTGGCAGTGTGATTTCTTAAGTAGCAATTATATAAAGAATTCTTAAATTACATTTCCTGGATGATTGTTCCTATAATAACATCCTTGCCACAGTTTCCTTTCTTAAAGGCTTTCATCATACCTACTTTGATTATATGGGAAAGAGTTATTCTTTTGTTCTGACAAACATGGCTGTCTTTAAAACAACAACAAGACAACACCATAGGCTGGGAAATACCTCATTTGGTGGAGTTCTTGTGCAGGACCCTGGGTTTGATTGTCAGCACTGCATAAAGCAAGGCATGGTGAAAGATGCCTGTAATCCCAGAAATTGGGATGTAGAGGGAGGAGGATCAGGAGTTCAAGGTCTCCTGTGGCTCCATCATGAATTTGAGGCCAGTCTGGGCTATATGAGACCCTATCTGAAGAAACCAAGACAAACCAAACCAAATCAGCACCGCATCCTAAAATGTTCTTCAGTAGAATGTGAGGGGGGTGGTTAGGGTCGGGTGCCCTTGTCCTCCCTCACTGCTCCATGTGTGTCTCTCCAGAATAAATGCTTCGTCTGAGAGGATGGTCTTCTCTGGTAACTAGAGGAGGACCAGTCTGGGTCAAGGGTACAGTACAGTGGCTGCACACATGCATTCAGGGATGTTAAAGAAGGCAGTGATGGCAAAGAAATGGCTGTCAAGAAATGGCTGTCTTTTCTGCCGCCGTCCTGCAGCACCATTCTCCAAGGATAACCAAAGTCATATTCCACTTCTTCCATTTAACTTACATGTTCTATTTCTGTTCGTCTGTGAGAAAATGCCTATTTTTATCTTCCCAAAGTAAGAGATTCATTAGAATCCTCAAACAAAGAGGGCATTGCTGGCTAAGAAAGCAGAAAGGCAGGGGTGATGAATTCCTAGAACCTAACACAATCCATCACATAGATAGATACTCATGAATATTTTTTGGATGACAAAGAGATAACTGCTTGTAGTGCTGATAACAGTAGACCTTCATGTGTGGCCGCTAATGCTGTCTGTCATCATAGTTATCATTGTAACATAAACAGACATGTACATAACCAGGCAGCAGGACTAGTCATGTGAAAATTGTAGTAAACATGTTCTTTGTGTATCTTTGTAAGAGGGGAAATTAGAGAAAATTAAAATAATAATTTAAAGGTAGTCATTTTGGCAGATGGGCTCCCTCCCTCTCCCTCTCTTCGTTTTTTGAGACGGGATTTCTCTGTGTAGATTTGGAGCCTATGCTGGAACTTGCTCTATTGACCAGGCTGGCCTCAAACTCAAATCTGCCTGCCTCTGCCTCCCGAGTGCTTGGGATAAAGGGATATTTTCATTTTTATAGACAAGGGAAATGAAGGTGCTTTTCTGTGACCAAGTAGTCTCAAGACATAAAATTGACCAGATTCTTTGTATTTCCTTTTTCCTTTTAAATTGTTACTTTCTGTGTGGGTGTTTTGTCTGCATATGTATCTGTGCATCACATGCATGCCTGGTGTTCACAGGGGTCAGAAGAGGGTGTTGAATCTGCAACTGGAGCTGCCACAGATGGTTCTGAGCCATCCCATGGGTGCTGGGAATTGAACCTGGATCCTTTGAAAGAGCAACCAGTGCTTGTAACTGCTAAGCCATTTCTTTAGTCCTACCTTTTCGTTTTCTTAATGGTTAGAATCACATCTTTGGAGTTAGTTCTTTTGGATCAGTTTCTATTCTTGAGTCATTATGTGATTTTTTTTTTTTTTAAATTTCTGTGTGGCTATACTTGTTTAGGTTCTTTGGCTGCAAGGAACTGGATTGAAAATATATAGAGACATGTAGTAGAGCTCCAGCTTGAACTGTGGCCAAGTCTAGTAGTAGCTAGAAGCCCCCTTGTTCTCCTTTAGTATCTAAGTTGCCAGATGGGTCCTGTATGCCTGCTTTACTCTTGTTCACTTTATTTGGGGGTTATCCCTTTGTTTTGACTGACCACACCCCAGGCTTAACCATGATTTTCTAGCTCCAGAGCCATTGGAGAGCCACTGGTTGGCTTTGAAAATGCTTTTGAAGTATGGACCAAGGAATATTTGAAATGTTTTTTTTAAAAAAATATAGACCCTTGCCCCATCCTAGTCATAATTTATCAGTCTCTTTTGATGATGGGTTTAACCATCTGTATCTAAAAATAGAATTCCAGATAACTTTTACTTGCACTGTACTTAGAGAAACACTAGAATGTAATTAAATGTAATTTGTGACTGCAGGTGTGCTGTCTTTGAGTAGAAAACCACCTAGTTAATCAGTCATGGCAGAGGATAGGAATCATATACTAACATAGTACAGTGAGCACTCTAAAGTCAGAGGGCCAAGTTTGAACCCTGACTCTATCAAATTAAATAATGGGATTTTTTTTTTTCCCCCAAGATAGGGTTTCTCTGTGTAGCTTTGGAGCTTGTCCTGGAACTTTTTTTTTTAGACCAGGCTGGCCTTGAACTCACAGGGATTCACCTGCCTCTGCCTCCTGAGTGCTGGGATTAAAGGCATGGGTCACCACTGCCAGGCCAAACAATGGGAACTTATTTACCTTTGTGTGTTGGCTAATACTGTTTTTTTTTAGCTCATAGGGTTCTTGTGAGTATTAAACGATGTAAGAGAGAACTTGTAGCATACATGGAAAAATTAGGGCTCATATACAGCATCATTAGTAGTTGTGTTTTTACTAGTACTGCTTCTGTTACTAACATGGTTGTCCAGGCACACCTAGTTCCACAGGGAGCTTGTATTTTTGCTGTTGTTTGTTTTTGAGACAGGGTGTCTCTGTGTAGCCCTGGCTGTCCTGGAATTTTGTAGACCAAGCTGGACTTTAACTTGGGGATTAAAGGTGCCAACTGCCTGACTGGATTTTGTGTTTTCATATGTGGCAGGGTGAAAGTGAAGGCAATCTAGTGATGGTAGTTGTATAATTGTATAGACTGACTCAAACTAGGACAGAATAATGTGAATTTAAATCATATTCACATTTAAAGGCTAAATAAACATTCATTTCAAGTCAACTTAATAATTACTAGCAAGCTTTATTCTCATTAGTATGTTATTAACAGTTAAACTATTTCAACATCATTGTGTCTACCATGTAAACTGGAACTGGATGGTTATTTTTACTTCTGCAGAGGGAAAGGAGACTCCCCAGAGGCTCGAGCATTGGCTAAACAGGTAGCCACAGCCCTGCAGAACCTGCAGAGCAAAACCAACAGGGCTGTGGCCAACAGCCGACCTGCCAAGGCAGCTGTCCACCTTGAGGGCAAGATTGAACAAGCACAGCGGTGGATTGATAATCCTACGGTAGATGACCGTGGAGTTGGTAAGGGCTCGTCTCAGTGCAGTTGTGTGGGTCACTGCCACTGTCCTTTATAGTTGGAAATACAGTGCTGAAAGGGATCTTGAGCCACTGTGAAGTCACTTTTCAGTGTGGCTCTATTTCCAAATGCAGCCAGTAAAATCTCTATAATTTAACCAAGATGTATTAGAGAGTAAATGATATTTCTGTGGACAAACAGAGCTTCATAATTGCAACTTTGAACTAATTACTACCAATTTTCATTCTGTAGTATTTCTGTTTTTATAGTCCTTACCAATTACCCATTTAAGTATATTTTTTGGAAAATGACAATAAAAGACATTTGATATCCTCACAGCATCCTGTAAAAGTTGAATCTCTCTCTCATTTTTTGTTTTTGCTTTGCTTTTTGTTTGGTTTTTTTTTGAGACAAGATCTCCCTATGTAGCTCTAGTTGTAGTTGTCCTGGAACTCACTCTGTAGACCAGGCCTTGAAGTCACAGAGATCCACCTGCCTCTGGGATTAAAGGCATGTGCCATCATGCCTGACTGATACGATTTTTAAGGAGATGGAGGAATAGATTTATATGATTTTGTTTCATGATTACATCTGTTGAGGCTGAAAAATACATTCTCTTTTCTCACATATACTGGGTAAGACGAGTGTTTGAATTATTGATGGCTAGTGGCAGTGTTGGGCTGGAGAACTGGGCAGATGCATAAGCTGTGTAGGAGTGAAATGATATGAACACTGTTCTATGCTCATTCCTGCTAAGGTGTTCATACCCACTGGGCAGCAATTTGATTGTTAGGAGTTTTTTTTTTTTTTTTTTTCCTAATGCATTATTTCTAAGTAGCTACTATCAGAATTGTGTAAACAATGTGAATATTGTTGTTATACTTAGCAAGCAGTATGATAGTTACGGTTAATATAATAAAATATAACCTATATTTTTAGGTTATGTTTTCAGTTTTGCTGTTTTTTTAGTACTAGGGACCAAACCCTAAGACTTGTGTGTGCAGGTCAAGTAGTCAAAAAGATATTTAGTAAGTGGAAATTGTTCACTATAAAGAAAATGAGTGAAGAAATAAAAGTTAGGCTTGGGGTGTAGGTCAGTATTAGATATGCATGAGGCTCTAGATCCAATCCCCTCACTTCCCCTAATTCTGAAAAGTTAATGCACAGTTTCTTCTCCCTGTACTTTTCTTTATTTCCATAGGATTATATTTTGTGGAGAATCCTGTACCCTTATTAAATGCTATTTAAAAGAATCTGGAGTGGCAGTACAGTTGCCTTTCTTACGTCTGTGTGAACTTCAGTGTTTCCCTCTTGGTTTATTTAGGTCAGGCTGCCATCCGTGGACTTGTGGCTGAAGGGCATCGGCTGGCCAATGTTATGATGGGACCTTATCGCCAAGATCTTCTTGCCAAGTGTGACCGTGTAGATCAGCTAACAGCTCAGCTGGCTGACCTGGCTGCCCGAGGGGAAGGGGAAAGTCCTCAGGCAAGAGCACTTGCATCCCAGCTTCAAGACTCCTTAAAGGTAGACCTTACTTTTTGATGTCTGTTAGTGTAGAGAAACAACGAACAGAAGAGACGGTTGTACAGTGTGTACATGCGTGTGGAAGTCAGGTGTCCACTCAGGTATTGGGCACCATCTATACTTATTTTTGGGACAGGGCATCTCCTTGCTTTGGAACTTGCCGAGAGAGTAAGCCAGGCAGTCAGTGACTCCAGGGAGCTGCCTATCCATACCTCTCTAGTGCCAGCATTTTTCAATGTGTGTTTTGTTAATCAAATTCAGGCTGTCATGTGGCAAGGCAAGGACTGTACTGACTGAGCTGTCCCCACCTCACCTTGAGACTTGAGAATTAAAATGACCAAATATACAAGAAGATCAAGTTTATTAGGAATAAGCCAAGTGGTGGCAACTAATATTTTTCTAAATTTCATTTAAGAGATCTTTCATGATTTTGCTCAGTGCATATATCATTTTACTATTATTTTTTACATTCCAATCCCAGTTCCCCCTCCCTCCTCTCCTCCCGCTCCACCTCCCCACCCCCCACCTGTTTCTCAGAGACGGTCAGGCCTTCCCTCGGAAGTCTACTAAGTCTGTCCCATCATCTCATTGAAGCAGGACCAAGGCACCTCTCCACCCCTGTGTCTAGGATGGGCAAAGTATCTCTCCATATAGAGTGGGCTCCACTAAGTTATTTTGTACATTAGAATTAGATCTTGGACCCACTGCCAGTGGCCTCATATATTGTCCCAGTCACACCATTGTACTCCAGGAGCTTGGCCCATTGGTTAGTGGTGGATTTCTGCATCTGTTATTTATTCAGTATTTAATTTTTTAGATAGGGTGTCACACTCTGTAGCCCAGGCGGGCCTTGAGCTCTTGTCTTCATAGCATGATCTGAGTACAGAGATTATATGCATATACCTGGAGGTTATTGAGTTTTTCTATAAACTTTATTTTTTTTTTAAATTCTTGTAAGATAGTAGACTATTTAGAAATTTGGTATTGCATTTTCCAAATACTTAATTCAGTCATCACTGGGCCTGGCTAGAACTGGGAATGTTTAGAGCCTTCTTTGTGGTAGGCCTATTGTTCTATTATTTCATAGTGTCCACTAAGAAAGAAATCATGTATGCCCCTTTTACTAGACACTAATATGTTAAAGAACAGAGTTCATAACTGGGTCTGTGCTAGCTCTGTGTTTTATACATATTTGATATTCAAGAAATAGTTTTGAATGTTCTGAAAGTGAATGCATGAAAGGCAGAATGAGTGAATGAGTCAGTGAAGTTAGCAGATAAGCCTTTTGGATGTTGCTGTAAATTTCATTTGTAAACCATATTTTTAAGGATCTTAAAGCCCAGATGCAGGAAGCTATGACTCAGGAGGTGTCTGATGTTTTCAGTGATACCACAACTCCTATCAAGCTGTTGGCAGTGGCAGCCACAGCTCCTCCTGATGCACCCAATCGGGAAGAGGTAGGTATCTGAAGCACACAGGCTGCTTGTGGACGAGAGATGGAAGGGCAAAGGGGGGTCTTCTTGTCCCCCAGGAGTATCAGCTATGTCTGTCTGTAACTGCTAGCTGTAGTATATTTGGCCATTACATTAAAGCAAGTGGAATTGCTTTTTATCATATACCAAGAAGCATGACATGAAAGTAAGGATCTTTGGCATTGATTCAAAAGGTAAAAACTGGCCTTTCTTTGGTTTTCTTGGTGTTTTTCTCAAGGGAAGGTATCACTCCAGGCAGGAAGAAATGAGGGATGAAGATCACTCCAGCCACAACTTTCTGAATAGTGTACTTTAAACTCATTTGATGTAATAATTCTGTACAAAACCTTCCCGTGACTCCTCCCTATCCTAGAGTAAAGCCAGAGACATTACAATAAACAGTAGGCTGGTGATGTGCTGGTAAGCTAACTCTTCAGGAAAAAGACCCCAAAAGGCCTGATTTATAAATAAGTGATGGTTGGATTTTCACAATGTAAATACTCTGTGTTGTATTGTTTCTGTTTGCTTGTTTGTTTTGTTTTTTGAGACAAGGTCTTGCTGATGGCTTTTATAGCCATTGATTAACTACAGAGGAGCAAAGTTTGGAGGGCCACCCAAGTTGAAACATTTTGGGTAATGTGTTCTTGCTTCTTGGTGACTCTCTCTTTCTGGCCTAGGTTAGGAGGTGGTTCAGTTCATAGTCCCCTTACACTAGGGTGATTTGCTACTTTTTCATCCCAGGCTTCTAAATTTCACACTCTTAGATCCAAATTTCGGCTTGTCTTGTCCATCCAGAATCTAGATTCTAGATGCTTCATAGGTTCCTCATTCTATGCTGTTTCTCTTCAAAATTGTTTCCAGTAACCTTTTCCTTGCCCTACACTCCAATAGGGAACTCAGGCATTTTAATTTTATATCACCAGTAATTTTGAATCCTTTCTATCATGTTGCCACGGTTTAAATTCTGATTCTTGGTCTTCTCCACCCCTGGATGGTTGCATAGCTCTCTGTTGTCTTCGAATCATTCATTAAGCCACCAAATTGGGATTCATCCAACCCCTGATTTTCTCCTGGTTAAGTCATTCAGTGGGCATGGGGACAGAGCTGGAGCTTTGTGCTACAGTTTTGTTTACATGGTTGTTTGTTGTTCATGTACCCCAGGCTGACCTTGTTAGGAGGCTGAGGATGGCCTTGAGCTCTTGACCCTCCTCAGTGCTGCACTCATAGATTGTGCCATAGCAGCTGGCTTGTGGGATACCAGGGGTCTGATCCAGGATTTCATGCATGCTAACAAGCTGTCTACCAATGAGCTATATCCCCAAACCCCTGTAGTCTGGCTTTTACTACTCTTTTTATGTTGGTTTCATACAGGTAACTGTCTCTTATTCCATGCTCCTGCAGTAGCTAGTTGGGTGTAATGTCTTGCATACTTGGCCTTCTATGTCTTTGCTTCCTCTATCTAATTACCTCTGGCTTCTTTTCTGCCTGGTTCTTCTTTGTCCTTTATTGTGTTCTTTTGTTTTCTGGATTGATTAAGTGCCTTTCCTTTGACTCCCATAATCTGCTATTTCACGTAGCGACACACCTTATTACAAATGCCTGTTTCTGGGCTCCTCTCTGGGTTGTGAACCCATTCAGGGACAGATTATTGTCTTTTCAATATCTACCTTAAGTCTGGGAAAATAGTAGGTAGTCAGTAAATGTTTTTTAAAGATTTATTTACTTATTATATAAGTGTTCTGCCTGCATGTATGTCTGCACACCAGAAAAGGGCACCAGATCTCATTATAGATGGTTGTGAGCTACCATGTGGTTGCTGGGAATTGAACTCATGACCTCTATAAGAGCAAGCAGTGCTCTTAACCTCTGAGCCATGTTAGTCAGTAAATTTTGACTGAGCTCAGAGAAAAGCAATCTAATGCAGCAGTTACAGGGAGAACAGATACAGCCTGGACTTGAAATGTCCACCAGAGCAGGCAGTACACCTGTAAGCCTATAATGTGGATATCAGCAAAGGTAGGGAAACTTGTAAGACCAGGAGAACAGGACTGCATTGGCTTTTTGTCTGAGATTGTGAGCATTAACTATATTAGGAACCCAGGAAACTGAATCAAAACAAGTCAGAATAGTTTGAGACTGTAGGTGGTGGATGTAGAGCCCTGGGATGAGACTGGAGCTTGCTGTTGAACTGAAAATCTTTAGAGAATGCCTGACCTGAGTCAGAGCTGGATACCAAGTACAGAAGTGGTACCGTGAGGACCCTCAGTGCTCTGTGTGCAGCATTAACCTGACCCAGTGCTTTTTGGTATACCTTGTCTTCCAGGTATTGATCCTAATGTCACCCAAGCAAATACAAAGCCTTTTGTCATTTTAAATTAGTTTCTTTGATAATGTACAGCCTCTCGTGATATCTTCAGCAGAAGGAAAGTTAACTTTTTAAGATTCAGAGACCCAGCTGAACAGTGAAGTTGATGGATTTCCATTTGGGACTAATAAAATCACCCATCTTGTCTTTGTGTTAGCACCAGCTATCATTTTACCCACTGAGGTCAAGGGCAGAGTTTTTACAACATTAATGGTAATGGGATACATGAATGGAGGCTGGAGCTAGGCAAGGACTCTGTGGATACTTGGGGACTTGTAATGCACCCAGCTACCTGCAGAAGAGCCTGTAGTGGGTTTGCCTGTCTTCTTCAAACTAAGAGTGAAAACCTTTGAGGAATGAGATTATTTAGTCTTCACATTCTGTGAACTTGTTGCAAAGTGTGTAATTCTGTGTGTGTCCTGCTTGCTCTTGGTAAAGTAAGTTTCAAAGAAGATTCAGGGATGTGTCTCTGTGTGTGTACATGATGCTTAAGGCTGAACCTCTGAGGAAATATATAAAGGTCAGGATTTGACATTTGACTATTGTTTTAGTAATAAGATTTGATGTTATCTCAAATTTTTGAGCAGTTACAGAATCAAATTAAAAACATCTTTTACTTCCTGGTGCATTACATTGAAATAAATTTCCTTAATGTCTGTATTTTTCTTTTCCCTCGAGGTATTTGATGAGAGGGCAGCCAACTTTGAAAACCATTCAGGAAGGCTTGGAGCCACAGCGGAGAAGGCGGCTGCTGTTGGTACCGCCAATAAATCAACAGTGGAAGGCATTCAAGCATCAGTGAAGACAGCCCGAGAACTCACTCCCCAGGTTAAGTTTTGCTCACTCTTCATTTCAGTATCATCATACAGTATTTGCCAAATGAAATTAATTATAAATGCTTTGTTACGATCACATAAAAAAGTATGCAGAGGGGCTGGAGAGATGGCTCAGCAGTTAGGAGCCATCTTAAGGGCTCTTCCAGAGGATCCCAGTTTGCTTCCCAGCACCCATGTCATTTGGCTCACAAACAGCATGTAATTCCATCTCCAGGAGATCCGATGCCTCTGGTGGGCATCTGCACTCATGTGCACATACCCATATGCAATACACACCACCTACACATAATTAGGAATAATAAAAATAAATAAAAAATGTATGTGGAGCTAGGGGAATAGCTGGGAAAGCTCTTGTCACAGAATTATTCGGACTTGAGTCTGGATCTCAGAGCTCATGTGAAAGACAGTCATGTTAGGCTATGTTTGTAATATAGTGCTCCAAAGTGAGATGATGGGTGGAGACAAGGAGAGTCCATGGGGACTCACAGGCCAGCAAATCTGGCATATGCACACAGTCATGAACAACAAAGACTCCCTTGTCTTCAGCAAGTTGGAAGGTGAGAAGGACCAATACCAAGGTGTCCTCTGACCTCCACACACATTTGTGGTACACATGTCCAAACAAATACTTATCTGTGCACGCACATCATATATACACACATTGTACACATACACACCCCATATCCATATTTACATATTTATTAGGTCAAAGTTGGTGACCTCTAGGATTATAGAGGACTTTGACCTTTATATATTTTTGCATTGTTTTAATTTTTAAATAATGGTATTATTTTGAAAGCAAAAACAGGCGGTAAAGCAGCCCTCCCCCAGCACACATTATTAAGCATCTCTTTGAGGAGACTGAAAAACAAAAATAGCTGTTTTCATTGCTAGTTTTCCTTTTCTTCCTAATCGTATAACTAAGGTATATAGTTAATTATGTGACCAAAGAATAGCCAGGAGGTTTGGGAACAAAAGAAGATTGGAAATGAGAGAAAACAAATTGGAAAGAATTAAAGTTCTAATAAATCCATCTGCCTCCTCTTTCCTCCTCCCTACCCTTTTGCTGAGGCTGGCTTTTGACTTGTAGCCCAGGTTGGGCTACAACTATCTAATGTTAGAATTATAGGTGTGCAGCACCATGCACAGCTAGCTTTCTTAAAAAGCTCAGCATCATTTAGTGTGATGTTTGTGCAGGGTTGGGGTTTTTTCCTCCTTCTCCTATTAATATAGAGAAATCCATTACATTTATTAAGTGCCTGTGATATATTGGTGGGTTCTGCTAGGCTTTACAAATCTGTGATTCTAGCTTTTGTGGGAACTTCTCTGGGGAGGGGAGGGAAATGGTCCATGTGCTTACCTTGCCTGTTAACACGAGAGTTTCTCTGTCCCCTGCTCTTCCTCTTCCCCTGCCTTGGGTATGGAACTCAGGGCTGTATACATGCCAGGTGAATAACTTACAGCACCACTAAGCTACATGCCCCAACCCATTTGGAAAAGTCATATTCATTTAACTTAAATAAAAACAGAAAAAACTGGCTTCTGTTTAGGAAGCCCAGGTTGGCCTTCAACTCACATCAGTGCCTTGAATGATGGGATGACAGGCCTACACCACTAAGCCTAGCTTCATCCAGCCTTTTTAGAAATTCTCATAAAATATGAACATTCTTAATTAAAAGCACAAAATCCTTCCATAAAACACTAAATAAAACAGAATTTCAGTACAAAACTGAGATTGAAAAACAAACAAACAAACAAACAAAAAACCCCAAAACAACCCTAGTAAGGGCAGATGCATAAGGGCTGCAGCTGTATGAAGCATGGTAAGTCTTCTTGGTTTTCTGAAATGTTCGAATAACTAACTTTTCCTTTACTTCTTTCTACCAATACCCTAACATGTTTTCCTGAACACTTGGGGCTTTCCCCTCAATATTTTGGGCTTCTTACCTTCCTCTAATGTGTTTCTCCCTACCATGTAGCCACTCCCCCCATCCCCCTTAGATGCCCCCCCCATCTCCTGGCAGCTGCTGATTTTATAGCTTGCCCTCCCTTTGATTTTTCTTTTAAATTCTAATACAACTGTTGTGTGTATCCCCCCCACCCCCCACATGCTTCCAGAAACAAAAACCAACCCAGAACACTAGACTTGGAAAGACTGAAGACTGTAGAGAAAGATCTGGACTCAAATGCATTCTAACTTTCTCATTCCACAAAGTTAGCCCTTCATAATGCACTGTTTTGAGGAATATAAACATACGTGTATGGACTGTGCATTGTTAGTTTCTCAGTACTTCTTTCCCAAACACTGTCTCTAACCAGCTAGGAACCTCTAGAGTGTCTAGATTTTTGCATCTTGGAAGTGAAGGTGTTGTCTTTTCTCTCACTGGGTTTTTGTAAAGATGCAGTCATGTAATGAATGTGAAAGCAGTTTGCTAACTGAACAGGTATTTTAGTTAATATCATTTTAAATGAAGTTTGAGTAATTTTTTTAAAATTGTGAACAGGTGTTTTGATCAATATTCATAAATCATAGCTGAGTAATCTTTTTTTAATAATTTATTTTATTTGCACTGGTGCTTTGCATACATGCATGTTTGTGCGAGGGTGTCAGATCTTAGAGTTATAGACAGTTGTGAGCTGCCATGGGGGTCAGGGAATTGAACCCGGGTCCTCTGGAAGAACAGTCAGTGCTCTTATCTGCTGAGCCATCTCTCCAGCCCCATGAGCAATGTTTTGTTTCATGCTGCTATTTTATTTTATAGATAGGGTTTAACTATGAAGCCCTGGTGGCCTGGAACTTAACAGATTGGTTTTGTACTCACAGAGATCTTCCTGCCTGTCTTCCCAGTGATAGGATTAAAGGCACGCCTACTATGCCAGCCTTGTCTCTTATTTTTGAGATATGGATCTTGCTATGTAGTCTAGGTTAGCATTAAATTTGAAATCTTTTTGCCTGCTTTCACCTCCTGAGTGCTGAGATTATAGGCAATATATATTCAGTTGATTTTTAAATCATTTTATTTTTTATTTTTAAGCAAACTATTTTGCCCAGGCTGTTTTTGAACTTGTAAACCTCCTGCCTCAAGCCTATAATCCCAGAGCTCAGGAGGCAGAGGCAGGATCTCTGTGAATTTGAGTCCACCTGATCTACAAAGTGAGTTCCAGGACAGCCAGGGCTGTTACACAGGGAAACTGTGTCTCCAATAACAAAACAAAACAAAAAACAAAACCTCCTGCTTCAGGCTCCCAGGTGCTGGGATTACAGGATTGAATTACCTTGCCTAACTGAATTTTTAGTTTCTTTTTGAATCTTTTAAAGATGAAAGGGTTGATATGAAGACATCAACTCTTAAATGTACATCAGTTTTTATTATGTTCTTCTGAAATGTTAAATGAATGTTCATTTATGTTGACACCTTATTTTTTTCCCAAATCAGGATATGACTCTAAATTTTTGTGTGAAGGGCCCCACTCTGGGGTCTGTTTATGGCACCAGACTTAATGTGATCAGCCTGAAGAGGCTTGCCAATTTTGGTTTTCTGGTGCCATCTATGGGAGAAATGGAGAAAAGGTAAAATGCTAAAATGATTTGTATTTTGAATGTACTGGTGTCCTGGTATTTGAAGATTGCTTTGTCATTGACAGGTCATTTCTGCTGCTCGAATCTTACTGAGGAACCCTGGAAACCAAGCAGCTTATGAACATTTTGAGACCATGAAGAACCAGTGGATTGATAATGTTGAAAAGATGACAGGTATAATTTTACAAAATTCTTTTGGTCTGATTCATGATTTCTGAGGACCTCAAGCAGGACCGGTTATATCAACTGTAATTGAATATAGGGACAGTCAGGGGCTCAGCAGTGTGCTTGGCCCTGATCAAGAAGCTTAGCAGTGGCGGCTTCTCATTCAGGCTTTGCTACTGTGTTGGGAGAGAGACTAAGTCTTTATTTTAATACCGCCCTCTGGTGTGATGTTCATTGTTACAGCTCCTATCTTCTCTTTGAATAGTGTCTTTGCCCAGTCCCAGCTAGAGTTTAGTTTCAGAGGCTGGGAGGCGGTGTTTGTGGATACAGTAAGGGGCCCTGTCATTTTCAGAGGGTTCACATTTCAAGGAACCACAATAGCTACCATTTAACCCAGTGTGTCTCAGAGTTTCCTCCAACTTATCAACTACATAGTTCTAAAAAAAAAACAAAAAAAAAAAACAAAAAGGAGACACCTGTGTCTGTGTGACTGAAGAAGAACTTCTGAATCTTCCCTGGTCTCTGCTGAGGGATAGGACAGAAGGGCAGACATGAGGAGTGTGGGCTCTTGGCTGTCCCTATAGAACCTGCAGTCAGGGGTCTGTAGCAGCCAGACATGAAAGCGGAGCTTCCGAAGTGTCTAAAGAGAGGTAACAGAAATAAGAAGCAGGCTGTTAGGGTTACTGGAATCCTCCGTGTGGCTCAGCTTGGGCACTTCAAGCTGCCAGCAGTCAACAGATGGCTGGAGAGTGAGATGAGAAGGGAGAAATGTCATTAGCAGACACTGTAGTGGAGATGCGGTGAAGTTTCAGACTCAACCCTTGCTTCCTCTCCTGATGTCTTTGCGTCTCTGGTTGCCTGTGGTGGATATAAGAGGGCCAGTGACCACGGTCAGTATAAATCCTGAGTCCAAATGCCTTTTGGGCTGTGCTTGCACTTCTGTTTTTTAAGCTGTTTTGCTCACTTGAAAGCTTCCAATTTGTAGGATTAGCTTTGAACTGAGAAGAGAATTCCGAGTTGTACTTTCTCATGAGAAGCAAACTGACAACAGTGTTTGAATCTTTGTTCTTCTAAAAACAAGCTCAGTTCCATTTCTGTTTTCTTGACAGGGCTGGTGGACGAGGCTATTGATACCAAATCTCTGTTGGATGCTTCTGAAGAAGCAATTAAAAAAGACCTGGACAAGTGTAAGGTAGCCATGGCCAATATTCAGCCTCAGATGTTAGTCGCTGGAGCAACCAGCATTGCTCGTCGAGCCAACCGGATTCTGCTGGTTGCTAAGAGGGAGGTAGAAAACTCTGAGGACCCGAAGTTCCGAGAGGCCGTGAAAGCTGCCTCTGATGAATTGAGCAAAACAATCTCCCCAATGGTGATGGATGCCAAGGCTGTGGCTGGAAACATCTCTGACCCTGGTAAGCAACAGTGCACGGTGTCTTTCATCGTAGCTACAAGGCTAACTTGGCAGAGATGGGAGAAGAGTACTCCACCACCACAAACAAAATCTGGGAGGAAAAATATGGACAATGCCTGATGTGGTACTTTTTCCTGTAACCTCAGCACCCAGGGGGCTGCGCCAGGAGGATAACTGTAAGTTTGAGGCCAGCCTAGGCTATTTACCCTGTTCCAGAGTTATAGAATGAGAGCATGCCTCAAAAACTTCAAAGAAAAAACTGTAAACATTCAGTTTGAGAATGTTGTATTAATGTTTTCCTCTGTTCAGTTTTGTGCAGTATTGTCAGGATCAGTATCTCTACACTTCCTTTACGTTGTCTGGCTTCCTAGCCCAGTTCATAATCATTAGTTTGGAAACTTAAAAAAAAAATACTAGCTACCCATCTGCCAAGCATTTACTTCATGAAGTTGGTATGACTTCTCTTTTACTCTTCTTACATACAACGACCTCTCTCTGTAGAGAATCTTGTTTTTGTCACATATAGAGTGCTTAAACACACTCTGCTTTCTTAGGCCTTATATGAAAGAATTTTGAATTTTCTTCAGCTCCATTTCAGTGTCACTAATGGAGATAATACTTGCTGCCATGCATTTGGTTGCAATCATGTATATCTCTTCTTTTTTGGAAACCTACATTTCCCACCTTGTCAGTGAGAAGCTAGGCTGCCTGACTCACTTCTGGTCTATACACAATCTCTGTTATTTGCAGTCCACCATCACTGTGGATGCATTTGATCTTTTCATTGGAGTTTCTAAATATTTTAGCAGTTCAAGATAAGGGTTAACACACTGAATGCCAACTAGAGCACAGACATAGAAAGGTGAGATGTACTCCAGGGAGCACAAACCCAGTCTGGAGCTGACATCTCCCATGCTCTGCACTCAGCAGACCTGTCTCATGACCATGCTTCATCACAAGTGGAGTGATGGGTACCACCTGAGCCCAGCTCACACAGGGGATTTGTATTGTCAGAATGCATCCTCACCACTATAGGAACAGCTGGCCTGTGACCCTTCCTTAGGGCCTCTGACTTGCCCTACTTCCCTTGTTACTGCCCATGACTCATGCTGCTGCCAGCCTTATTAATGGGAACCAGTTCTTCTGCTGGATGGGCACTGCCTTGGGCCCCGACCTGCCCAGCTGAAAGTGAGAGTGTTTTGTCTTTAGGCCTGCAAAAGAGCTTCCTGGACTCAGGATATCGGATCCTGGGAGCTGTGGCCAAGGTCAGAGAAGCCTTCCAACCTCAGGAGCCTGACTTCCCACCTCCTCCACCAGACCTTGAACAGCTCCGAGTAAGTAAGCTGAGAGACGGGAGGAACTGAGCAGCCAGGGGTTGAGCTTGTGTGAGAGGCAGATCTGCCTTTCCAGTCTCTGGGTCCAGGTGCTTGGTACTTTTTATGTGATTAGTTAGAGATAGATCTTAAGTTTCATTCCTGAATTGATGGCTTCATAACCCAGCACTTGTGTATGTACTTACGTGGTATTAACCCATTGTGACAGGGTGAGAATGGAGCAGAGGTAAGTGCAGTTGTGATGGAATGATGAGGTACGAATTGTAAAAGAGTTTGTACATTTTGTGGAGAGGATTGCAGTATTAGAATCTTGTTAGGTTCTTGCCTTTCTCTCTTTTTAGTAACATAATTAATATTCTCTTTAAAAAATACAAAAAAAAAAAAAAAAGTGTGTGCGTGTGTGCATGTGCTTGTGGAGGAAAGAGGTCAACTTCAGGTGTTGTCTCTCCGGAGCCATCCATCTTAGTTTTGGAGCCAGGACCTCTCACTGGGATATAGGGCTTTTAGCTGGCCAGTGAGTCCATGGGATTTGCTTTTCTCTGCTTCCTCAGGGCTGGGTTTACAAGCACATACCACTATCCCGAGTTGGTTGTTTTTGGGTTTGTTTTTGTTTTTTGAGACAGGGACTCTCTCAAGGGACTTCTCTGTCCTGGAACTCTCTATGTAGACAAGGCTGGCCTCAAGATCTCGAAGAGATCTGAGGTGGGATTGAAGATGTGTGCCACTGAGTTTTTTACTTGAGTGCTAAGGGACCAAACTAGGGTCTTCATGGTTGCATGCCTAGTGCCCTCAGAGCCCAGAAGAGGTGTTAGATCCCCTGGATCCAGAGTTATAGAAGGATGTGAGCTGCCCTGTGGGTGCTGGGAATTTGAATTGAATTTTCTGGAGGAGCAACAAGTGTTCTTAAAAGCTGAGCCATCTCTCTAGGCCCTTAAATCTTTTTCTGATTCTTTCCCACTAAGTACCACGAATATGTTTCTCCATAGTTTAAGAATAAGCTAGTTGGGTAATATCTTGCAGCAGTTACAAATCCTTGAAACAGACATAGTAATGATCATATGCAGATATTTACTCCAGTTAACAGTTTAGAAATATGTTGATTTGGGGAATAGCATACCAAGGCAATTGTTGTATTTACTTCCTTTAGTATGGTGTTTGTTTGTTTGGTTTTTTTGAGACAGGGTTTCTCTGTGTAGCTCTGGCTATCCTGGAACTCACTCTGTAGAGCAGGCTGGCCTCGAACTCACAGAGTCCACCTGCTCCTGCCTCCTGAGTGCTGGGAATTAAAGGTGTGTACCACTGTCACCTGGCTATGTTTTCTTACTTAATGTCAGTAAAAGATGTCAGGTTGGTTAAGGACAAAGCTGGGCCACTACAAATAGGTAAGGTTGGTAATTTCCCAGTTTTCAACTTTTCTTTTTACTTTCTATTAAGGCTTTTGATGGTAAGAGCCACTGGAAAGTGATATTCCTGGCAAGTGGCTCCTTTGAATCATTACATTTAGAATTAGGGTTGTAGAAATCACGTGGCAGATGCAGAACTTGAAACTTCAATGAGAAGTTATTGCCTCTCATTTGTTCTTTGACAACCAGAACCAGGACCAGGCCTTACATCCTCTATGGGGATTGGCTTTGGAATTGTTGATCTGGTAACTTGACGTATGCCTCCCAGGGGACATCACCAACACACACACACACACAGCTGTTAGTGTCTTGCAGAGATTTTTTTTTTTTTTTTTTTTTTAATAATTGAGATTACACAGATGGGTCTCATGGCTGGGTGTGGGTGCTTTATAGGGAGTCAATGTGGGTAGATTTTCTAGATGGTTTTTGGTAGAAGCTCTTAGGGCTTATATTGACAACCTGCCTTTTCACATTTGTAGCTAACTGATGAGCTTGCTCCTCCTAAGCCACCTCTGCCTGAGGGTGAAGTCCCTCCACCCAGGCCCCCACCACCAGAAGAGAAGGATGAAGAATTCCCTGAGCAGAAAGCTGGGGAGGTGATTAACCAGCCCATGATGATGGCTGCCAGGCAGCTCCATGACGAAGCTAGGAAGTGGTCTAGCAAGGTAAGCTCTGAGACATTCCTTGTCAAGAATGCGAGTCTTCCCATGAAGGATGAAGAGCCACATCCACAGCCCAGGAAGAAGTCTATTTGGAGTCACCTTCCTTCTTGCTTACTGCCAGTGTTTTAGGCAGTACATTCTTTTTACCAGTGATTTAGTAAGAAGTCTGTAGTGTTTGATGGTTTGCCTCTCTTGGGCAAAAGGAAAAGGGATGTCTGTGGCTAAAGAACAGTTTCTTTCTCTTTGTCCATTAGTGTCATCTCTGACTCCTGATGTTTGAGGTCTTTTTATAAACAGTATCTTTCTTGGGTTATTGAATGATTTTTGATGCTCTATTACTAACTGGCCAAGCTTGAGTATGAAAGTATGTTTTGTGGGCTTTGCTAGATGATATCTGTGCATTTCCTTTAGTCCTCGAATTAAGAAGCAGGAAGATTGGTGTCTCAGAAGTGGTGTGTTTTTATCCTTTCTCAGACTCCCTGACCCCTCTTTACTCAAGACAGCTCCAAGTTATCTTCAACTTAGCTAATTTGAAAGTCTAAGTATTAACGATGTGCGGGAGAATCTGGATGCAGCAGCAATCCTGCCTCCATGTCCCGCTTGTTTCCCTGAGTGGTGGAAATTAATGGTAGCTTTTCTTGCTTAGAGTGAAATCCTGGTGCTCATTTCAGCAGTGAGATGTGGTTCTTAGCTCTAAACTGTTTCTAATGCAACCCAAACTCTAGCCCATCATCCCCACTGTATTTCTTTAACTGAATATACTTCCCCGGGGGGAACTGAGCTGCCTGAAATTAATCTTGTTATAACCCCCACCCCATCAAACCCCCGGCTGAGAAATTGATGTTGGTTTTTAATCCAGTGTTAGAACTGTCATCTGGGAGCCCAGGCTCCCAGGAATGGAAACCTTGCTGGTGTTGGACCTGACCTGGGGAATTATTTATAGTGGTGTCTCTCTGACACCCCCAGGATTATATAGCACAAATCCTACTATGCATAGAGAATGGGAGAGAGTGACAATAGGGATGATTTTCCTCTAAGGAAACTTAATTACAGTAAACCCACACATATTTTGAGGAACACAAAAATATATGTGGACTTTAAAGGTGAAAGTTAATAGAGTCAGGCAGCATTTGCCCTACTTTGTTCAGTGTGTTCATAAATCCTGGCCAGAAGGTCCAAATTCATGAGTTCACTAGCTTTGAGCTATGTATGGGTGGGGAAGGAATGTGTTTGTCTCTGTCCATCTGTCTTTTTGACTTTAGCAATAGTAAATTACTCTTTTCTTCCAAGGAATGGGGATGAGTCTTGGTTGAGACAGTTTAGGAGAAAGGACTGGTGCTATCTAAACGCTTTACTGGCTGTTGACTGAAGTTTCTATATCCCCCATCAACTGGCCTGGTGTCTTCCAACTTAATGGCCATGTTTTGGAGATGGGCATTGAATTTCGGATAAGAATTTTTATTTTTGTTCTTGTTGAGAATTATTTTCATTTTATGCCTATGGGCATTTTGCCTGCATGTATGTCTGTGTACCACATGTGTGCAGTGCCCATGAAAGCCAGAAGAGGGTGTCACGTCCCCTGGAACTGTAGTGATAGATGGTGGTGAACCATCATGGGGTTGCTGGGAACTGAATCCAGGTCCTGGAAAAGAGTATTCAATGCTCTTAACCACTGAGCTATCTTTTCAGCCCAAGAATTTCTATTTTTAATTTTTTAAGTTTTCCTATTTCTTGAGACAGTCTTATGACTTACTGGTTCCCAACATGGCCTTCTTACCTCTGCCTCTGGATTCCTGGGACTACAGAAATGTATTAGTAGAATAAGACATTTAGGAACCTTAACTAAAATACCATATGAATTTATATTTCCTCCTGCTTACAGAATCTTGGTGTAAACAACCTTTCTTCACCAGTCTTCTTATGAATGGCTTGGCTTCATTAAAGCAATTCCTTTTTCTTCTATGCCAGCTTGTTTTTTAGCATCTGTTCTCTGTATTTCCCCAACCCCCTACAATCCCAACCTTTGTTATAAAATTCATGTTCTTCCTCTCTTGGCTCCTGTTCTTTTGTACGCATCCATTTTGGGTTCATATGAGGGCTCCTCTGAGCTTAGCCTCATTTAATTGCCAAGTCTATGTGTTACCTGATCTGTGAACTAGTAAGTTGAGTTTGGGTTGAGAATCGATTTTCAACAAAGGAGAGATTTAGGTTGTATCTAGAGGCGGTGCTTTCAATTGCCACAATAAGATATTGTGGAAGCTTTGTCTTTGAAGATCTTATTAAGGAGAAAGACAGTCTAAAATGATGTAGGGTTTTCACTGCTATAGGAACTATTCGACATGTCTTCTTGAGGATCCTATAGCTAGCTGAGTGGTTGTAGAACATTTGGTAAATACTCTTCATGCATTATTATGTTGATTTTCTTGTCTGTTTCCCGGCTTGCTGTTGCTTTTGACATAGTTTTTCTAATCTGGGACTTCTAATTCCTAAAGGAAATAGTAGGTGTCTGGTAGCTGCAGAGCTGCATGTTCCAAGATGATGGAATAGTGAGTGTCTGGTTTAGGAGGATGTTCAATTTTCCTGTTCAAACAGCTTACATGACTGTGTTTACTTTTTCCCTTTGGATTTCTTTTAAAAGCAATGGCTACTGTGTTGTTTGGTTCCCTAAACATGTGATTCTGGTCAGGTTTAACTTCAGCAACAAGCATACATTGCCTTCTCAGGAAACCTTTGCTAGAGCAAATTTCTTCACTTATTTCAAGGTGACTTAGGCTGAAGGCTGAGTTCCTGTCTTCTGTTCACTTGGCTGCTGGAGAGGATGCCATTTTCTTTTCCATCCCAGGCAAGCTTTGGTTACTAAACCAGCTGAAGCTTCATTTCCCAAGTCCTGTTGTTCTTACTAACACTATCCCTATTTTTCACCCTTCCTGCCATCGACAAAGCCGGGTATCCCAGCCGCTCAGGTGGGTATAGGAGTTGTAGCTGAGGCAGATGCGGCTGATGCTGTTGGGTTCCCTTTCCCCTCTGACATGGAAGACGATTACGAACCTGAGCTGCTGTTAATGCCATCTAATCAGCCGGTCAACCAGCCCATTCTGGCCGCGGCTCAGTCCTTGCACCGGGAAGCTACCAAGTGGTCTAGTAAGGTACTGATCGGTACCCCCAGTTGGGGGCTGCTCCAAATGCATCCGGCCATGTGCAGCCTTGACACCTTGCCTCACTCATTGTCTGTGCGGGTCCTGTGAGTTTGAGCCGGGCGGGCAACTGTCTGTCTGCACCTTGTTGTTGTTAGGGCTGGCTTCACAAGTTTGATAGGTTTGCTAATGTCTGAATGAATTGCATTTATGTTTAGGGAATAAAGAGAAATGGGGTCACTTTTCAAAGGATTCATTTTCTTCCCATTTTTGTGGCCATTAATTGGAACTATACATTCCTTGGGAAGCTGTAGCTAGCTGTATCTCTCAGTGATTTCTAGGTCAGGAGCCATTGGGGGACCACTGAGCTTTGCTCAGCTCTACTGACCTCTCACTGACGCTCAGGCAGAGTTGATCAGGACAAGAGCAGCTTTATATGGCAGAGTCTCTGGGGGAGGACTGCTTGCTGCCCTGCACCTGGCTGTGTGACAGATGCTGGCCCTTGTGGGAGCCCACGGGAAAGGGGCTTCACTGACTGCTTCTCCAGGTGTCTCAGAGGGGTTGGAAGTGGCCACAGGGAAAGCTCAAGAGCATCAGCTAGGTGACAGAGCCTTGGGTAGTGAACTAACATTTGTTTGGAGAGTTTAGGTGCAGAAGTGATCACCTTTTTTGTTTTTCCTATTTAAAGATGGCATGTTGCAAGAAAGAGTCTGAAAATGGTGGGTGATAACTAACCGTGGCACTGTGCTGTCTTCTAACCAAAGTCATGTAATCCTAAATTACCTCAGGTCTACACCAGAAGTTCGTCCAAAGGGCTTCATCTAACACATGCCTCTCCTCATGACCTCCTTCAAACCTGTGTTCTCTCTAGCCTCAGTTTATTTCCTGTGACATGTACCTTCCAACATCAATGAGGAGCCACTTGATGGTGCCTGTGGAGCTCTTGCAGGGCACCCTGAGTGGCATGGTTTGTGTGTGCCTCACTGCACTGTATAGAAATTGAAAAGCATGAGGGGAAAAATGAGTGGGGCTTGGCCATTCAGATAGTTTTGAACACTGTAGTTGCTATAATTTAGGTTGTTAAGGACATAAAATAAATTGCTTAAATATCTCCTTATGATCCACAAGGGTTTTAAGTGAACCAAATGCCAAATCTCAGATAAACTGCCATTAATGAGTGAGTTCCATTTATAGCCTGATTCAGGTTTATTTATTTGATTCCTCCCTCAGCATCCTCTTAAGTGAACATTCCTTATTGGAGGCATCACTTAGCTGATGGACTGTTGAATGGATTTGTAGAATCAATTTTTTTTTTAAATTGTGGAATGATTAGTATGCTCTTTCAGGCTGACAGATGAGCAGTAGAGGGAGGCCAAAGTAGTCTAGATGATAAAACATCCATTTCTCCCCTGTTTTTTTCTCAGGGTAAGACTCCTCATCTAGGGTTTTAAGTTCTACTGAAGTAGCACAAGTACTTAGCTGCTGTTTACAAGAGCAGAGGTGGAGGATGCTTTTAGCATCTGGAAAGCCTCCTTGGTGTTCTTCCTTTCTGGCCAGCTCGACTGCTTTCTCCCCTACTACAGAGATGACAATGCCTGTGTGACCGACTCCTTGGCTCTGGCCCTATGTTATTGACACAATTAACCTGGAGATGCTCAAGTGCTTGTTCAGTGCTGTGCCTGGGGCACCCACGTTGCCCTTTCAGACTAATCTCTGGGTCTTCTTTGTTTTCATTCAGGATATTCTCTCACTGAGTGTTGGGGCAAGTACCCAGTCTCTCTACTGTCTCTCCAGTGCTTTCTACTACCCCAAACAGTACTTTCCTTAGCCCTCCAGAGCTGCTAGAACAACAGGCTTCCTCCTCTCTCTTTTTTTCTACTTTCCTTAACTTGGCCAGTGTGTGGGCAGAGCTCATGCTGTATCTTTGCTTCTCTCTAGGGCAATGACATCATTGCAGCAGCCAAGCGCATGGCTCTGCTGATGGCAGAGATGTCTCGGCTGGTAAGAGGGGGTAGCGGTACCAAGCGGGCACTTATTCAGTGTGCCAAGGACATCGCCAAGGCCTCTGATGAGGTGACTCGGCTGGCCAAGGAGGTTGCCAAGCAGTGCACAGATAAGCGGATTAGAACCAATCTCTTACAGGTACTTGGGGAAATAGGCTCTTCCCCAAGTGTTTGTGTGGGGGGCACACCTGAGTGGGAAGTGTGAATGTGAGGGAAAAGGCAGAGAGGAAATTGGATGAATAGGAAGGAAGAGGTACTCAACGAGGGAAAGCAACAGCAGCAAGGGCAGTGAGTGTGTGGTTATTTGGAAAAAATAGACTGAAAGTTTATTTCCTAACCCGGTAGAATTTGAATGCCTCCATTTATGAATCAGTTGGGTCAGCACTGACCCTAGGGATAAAAACAAGTATATTTGTGCTGCTCATTTATCGAGTACTTCTGCATGCCAGCAACTGGGAATGGAGTTGGGTTTATCTGCCTCCAGGGAACTTGTGGGTAAGACAGCCAACAAACACCAAATACAACTTTCTCTTTAGGTATGTGAGCGAATCCCAACTATAAGCACCCAGCTCAAAATCCTATCCACAGTGAAGGCTACCATGCTGGGCCGGACTAACATCAGTGACGAGGAATCTGAGCAGGTATGTGCTGCTGCTCTGGGCTCCCTGCCTCTAGCTTCTTTGCTGTTTTATTTTAACTGTAGGACAAACTTACCTCTGAATTAAGAATGCAGCAAACCTGTCTTTCCTTATCACCCCCCTGGTGGGCCCTGCTCTGAGCCACACCCCCTTTTTCTTATGGTAGAGAGCATGTCTTGGTTGCATTGTGTACAGAGAGAGGACCTATCATTATTTTAGAAGTTAAAACGAGAGGCACATTCTCTCTCCATTAGGGAACTCACAAATAATTTTAGAAGACCAGCTGCTCTGACCTCTACAGGGGCATCACTGAGGAACAAGGACACTCTTCTGCTGCCACCACTGCTACTTACACTATCACTATTTTAATCCAATAGCTCTTACTTCTCCCACCATGGGAGCTTTATTAACATCCCTACCTTCTGATATTGCAAGTAGTGTTTGGTACTGGGTTACTTTCCTTAGTGGGATGTCTTCTGCTTAAACATAGAAGATGGTAAAACTTCGATCCATGCTAAAGCACATTAAGTTAATTAAAAAAAAAAAAAAAACACTTGTTGAGTCTATGTTTGTCCCATTAAATGAATAAAGGAAGAATCAGTGTGGTAGAATGGAACCATAGGAGAAGTCTTATGGAACAAGTGAGAAGTCTTCAGCTAGACCCTGACTCTTGTGAGTTTGGCTGGCAAGGCTCCAATGAGTCTATGTTTGTCCCATTAAATGAATAAAGGAAGAATCAGTGTGGTAGAATGGAATCATAGAAGTCTTATGGAACGAGTGAGAAGTCTTCAGCTAGACCCTGACTCTTGTGAGTTTGGCTGGCAAGGCTCCAAGCCTTTCTGGGTCTAAGAGCCTTCATAACCAGAAGAACAATGTTAGGAATTTAGATGCTAACTACTTTCCCAGAGCCCTCTGAATTTTATGTACAAGTTTCACTCATATGAAAAATTTTTCTGGGGAACCCCTTCAGCCTTTATTGAGTTCACAAAAGATCTATGACTTCAGATAGTTAGAATTACTGCCCTAGAAAAATCACTGAATTGTCTTGGCTGTGAGTAGACTTCCAGCTAGATCTCTGTCCTCTAAGTTTGTGTGTTTGGAAAATTAAAGTACATACACTTATAACATAGTTGGTTGCTTGGTTTGATTATTTTCATTCATTGGAGAGCAGTGAACAAAGAAAACAAGTCTCTGCCCTATGGAACTTAAAATTTAGTACAGATAGATAAATCACCCCCCCCCAACAAAAACAAGTGCCAACAAATAAAACAAACCCATCCCCAAAACAATATAGGTAGAATACATAGCATATCAATTAGTGATGATGGATTTTATGAAGAAAAATAGTAACTTTAAGTGAAGAATGATAGGAGTTTAAGTGGTGTGATTTAACATAAACAAAAAGGAAAGGTTTCCCTACTAGCAAAGATCTGAAGGACATTGGGCCCTGGGTTACTTGGAAGAAAAACATTGCAGGTAGAGGAAATAGCAGGAGTCCTGAAACCTGAAAGATCACCACCTTTGAAAATCAAGAGCAAGTACATGCTGACATCCACACAAGGACACAATGCACAGATAGCAAGGTATTGTTTACACAGTTAAACCTAAGCCACTAGTGATGCAAACAAGTGTTGGATGCCAGCACAGGTAGGGTTAACTGCAGTCCACACCAGGCTTCATGGTTTCTTGAAGGCAGCATTGCATTAGGGACTATAGTAACAGGGCTCTTTTATTACAGGCCACAGAGATGCTGGTTCATAATGCCCAGAACCTCATGCAATCTGTGAAGGAGACTGTTCGAGAAGCAGAAGCGGCTTCAATCAAAATTCGAACAGATGCTGGATTTACTCTGCGCTGGGTCCGAAAGACTCCCTGGTACCAGTAGGCACCTACATAACCTGGCTGGGACATAAGCCTCTGCTAGAGAAGAGAATGATGAGTTCCAGAAGCTATTCAGAGTTGCCGGGAGTAGAAATCAATTCCTGGTCTCACACCAGAAAGGAATGGGGGCTTCTTCACATAGAAAACATTTACACTCTTGTCATGGACACTTTGAAATGTGTCTCTGTATGAACCCTGTACTCTCAGTTACTCCTGTGCACAGTCACCCAGTAAGTGGACTGGGTTGCTAGCCCATGGATTTTACATAAGCTCAGAATAAGAGTAAACACTAGCTGGAAGCCCTGCTCTGCCCAAGGAACATTTCCCTCTCTGTTTACGGTTCAAAACTCCCTTTTCCCTCTTTAGGCCCCAAGACCTAGAGGTGAGGCAAGTCAGTTAATAACTGTGCTTCCAAAAGTTATTTTGGGTTTTCCATGTTGCTGCTGACCCTGCCTACCTTCCCTGGGCTGTGCATTATTGCTGCAGGGTAAGGTGGTCTCTAGGGAGGGCCAGCTTGTGCAGCCTGGATTCATTTCCTGCTTTCCCCCCCATGCAATCCTAGTTCCTCTCACAATGTAAAACCAATTTACACTGTTGGGAGGAAATCACTATTCTGTCTTTATCATGCCCCTGAGTAATATCTGTGCTAGGGAAACTTCCTGCCTCACATCCTGCCTTGCTTTGGTTGCCAAGGTAACCATCCAGCAAACACACTGGTGCTCTCTGCCACTAGAGGGGCAGAGTAGCTGGGGTGTGATCCTGCCTAACCTCCCAGTGGGGCCACTCCCAGGTTTTTATGCTTTGTCACTGCCAGTAGAGGTCTGTGCTGAGGCCTTAGCATACACTCTTAGCCTTTTTTTTTTTTCTTTCTTTTTTTTTATTTCTCAGCTGAAATGCTACATTTATTTTTAACCAAATCATCCTAGGTTTTGGCAGTCTTCTATATGCTTCTTTTTCTTTTCTTTTTTTTTTTTTTTAGGGTTCCCCCCTCTTGGGGGGAACAAGTGAGATTCATATCTATATGCTTCTTAAACAAGACTTTAAAAGATACATAGGTATGTGTTTGTTTGTAATCCATCCAGCTCCAAATTTTTTTTTTTTTTTTTTTTTTTTTTTTTTTTTTTGATTTTGAGACTGTTTCTCTTTATGCTGTCTTGAACTTCTGGTTCAAGCAATCTGCCTGCATCAGACTAATTAGCACCTACCAACCACACTTGGCTTCCTTGTAACTTTGGAAGGTCCATTCAGATTTAAATTGTACTAAACATTAGGGCTTGCTCCTAAAGAGACTTGAATGGAAAGGCAGTCCTGTCCGAGCGATACTTTTTGGGTAAGAGAGAATAACATTTGCAAATTTTGATGCTGGTGCTGCTAAGAATAAATCAGTAGAAACTGTTATAATTCCCAGTTGCTTTTAACCAATTACAACCAGGTCTTTTAATAAGTATGATACCTAATTACCAGAAAGGTATGTTTCCTGTCTGGCAAAGTTTCTGTATTTATCCCATAAGCAAGTCCCAGGATATGAATACTACTTCCAGAAGTCAAGAACCAGATGAATACAGGAATGAGACCCTTTCCTGCTGTTCTTCCCATACCTAGTGTGTTCAGTCCCAACACTGAATGTGTAAACCTTAAGTTGATCCTGTACACTCAGGATTCCTCTCTTTCCTTTCAGCCGATTATTTTCAAAGCTCTCAGCATGTCTGTATAGTTGCTTACCTGATATAAATGTGTATCAATGCCTTTAAAGTATGACTCTATGCCAAAGATCACCTTTTGTTTTAAAGATTACTTAGAGGAACTAAGAAAAATCATATTTGCTCTCCAAGTTCTTCCAGTTCTGGAGACATTTACAGGTCTGCCAGATGTGCTTTTCTTGAGTGTCAATGCTTACATTAAAAGGAAGCAAAAGGAAAACAGTCCCTGAATAAGAGATGCCACCACCAAAAAAACCAAAACAAAAAACCCTACATTTATAAGCTAGGATTTATTATATACAAATATTTTCTGCCTCTTCTTTTGTTCTGTTTAAAACAATAAAATACATTTATATGAATAATGCTCGGAATGATGGACATGCTATTTTACTAACAACTTTAGGTCAGACTCTTATTTTTGAAGAATAGCCAAGGAAACTAATCCTCAGGATCTGGATTTTATTGGGGGGGAAAAAAAAAACTAAAGATTTTATTCACTCCACAAAGGAATGGAAATAGTGTATTTCTATAAAAGGGTCCATGTGATAAAAACAACTAAAGATCTTATTCACTCCACAAAGGAATGGAAATAGTGTATTTCTATGAGAGGGTCTATGTGATAAAGGACAAACTTGACAACTATACTTTAGAAGGAGCAGAAATCACAAGTTACCAGTGGACAAAGCAGCCAAATGTGGGTCACCCTGGTTGAGGTAACTCTCATTGTAGAAGAATTTAGCTATTACTGGAGACCACAACTGTCCTTTAAAAACGCTAAAGTTGTGAAATATGAGGGGCACTTTTGTGTGTTCTAACCCCAGTACAGAATAGTGTTGTCAGGATCCACTATGGCTGTGCAGTAAAACTAGCTTTGGATACACACTCATCTTCCTGCTTGAGGAAGCACTGAAGCACTAAAACAAAAAACACTGTTGCCTAATTTTCTAGAACTGAGGGTAGAGGGAAGGTTAAATAATACTGCAGGATGAAATTTACTCTGACCGGAGAAGTGAACTGAAGCCTATGTCCAAGGCTGTAGAATTAGCTTAGCTGATACTGTAGTTCTTTTTTTCTAACCAGTTGCTTCTAACGACAACAAAAATCCAGCATATTTCCAGGGTTCTTCTGTAGCACCATTTAAGAAATGAACCTACCATCTGCATTCCCTGTGTGGGTGGGTGGGGCTACCTCACACAGAAAATAAGCATCTGTTTTATTTGTTCTTAGAGTATGGTTCCTTAAGAACAAAAGGGAATATGCTGGATTAAGCAGAATCCTGTGTTTAAGGTTCTTGGGAAGTAACGTGTGACTAGAAAGGGGACACTTTAAAAAGATGAATTAGGAAAGAGCCTCTTGAATGTTCTTCAAGCAACACTTGGGATACAGAAGAAACTGATCTGATGCAGCCGGCTCTAACATAGCCTAGATATGAGAATGTTCCATCAACAATCAAACTTAAAAAAAATCAATTTCTTGCTTTAATATTTTTATTGACATTATAGCCAAAGCTAGGGAAAGAACTTACTGGGCTCTATCAAATTAATAAATACAATAATTTAACTGTAAAGGAACACAGTCTGCTTGGCTGTTTTAGCAGAAATTATTAGAGACGAGGGACTCTTGATATATGTTCTACTTTGATAGACAAGACTGCACAGGAGGAATGTTGGACAGTCTATGAATGTTTCTGAGGTAAAGACAGGATATTAAGACTAGAGCTAGATAACCAATCTTAGTCAAAGGTAATAAATACTTTGCATTGTGACTTAAAGCTGCCAATCTAAGATTGGCTGCTCAAGAAATTTTTATTTGAAGTTGCAAAAACTAGCCTAATTAGATGAGGGTAATAATAATAACATTGCTATTGCATCATTAGCAATCCAGTAAGGAGTAAGCATACATCATAAATAGCACAGTAAGGGAAAGATGAAAGAAAATAATGGGCCACAGGACAAGAAAATAGTCAAATAGTCTAAAGAAAAGCAAGGAGAAATAGGAAGAACAAGCACTTAGATCTTAACTTTCAGCCTTATGTATGAGGGAAAATCACCGCTTGAGGTTCTTTAAGCAATTGATGCAGAATGGAATGAATCATAGACTTGACTTTCCTAGTGTAATAACTGATTGGTATAAATCATTACTGAGGATGTTGTTTGTCCTTCAGTATAATATTCTTCTGTGTACACAGTACAGCAAAGACATTTGAGTCCTTCAGTCACATTTTGACGAGGTGGGGAGTTTTGGGAAGGTGCCTTCACAAGGCCTTGGAATATATATAGGGTGAAAGGAGCTCCTCCAAATACAGGGCATACTGGTAAATCCAACCATTTAAGCACAAAAAGATAAAAGATTGAAAAGAGAAAAGTAATAGTAGTGAAACATATATTTTCCTCCTTTTGCTGAACTAGGGCATGAGGCTTTCAGGCTTACTAGGTTGGAGTGGCATTAGATAAAGTTTTAATAAAACAGAATGGCAAAGGTTTTGCTTAATTTTCTCTTTTACTACTTTGATTCGTTTAAAAGCACAAACACTTGTGCCTGCATTAACTTCCTAAAAGCAGAAGTAGTGTTCCCTTTTATTAATAAAGTATTTGCCCCTTTGATGCAAATGATTTTGATTGTGCTATCTAGCAGCTGAACTGATGATTGATGGTATATCTACTGCAGCAAAGTCCTTGTAAATCAAAATCTGAGCTTTACGTAAAAATCTTATTCATAAAAAAATATAATACCAAGTACAGTGACAATGGAGCATGGAGCAGCAATGCTCCCTGCCAGGGCCATGTGGAGGTGGCTTTTGCTACAGTGCTTGCTTAATGGCACAAGTGAAAAGCTGAGTAAGGCAAACACTTGAAGAGGCAGTTTTCTGTAAACTTCTTGGGGTGGGGGAATCTCCTCTTGTGGGATAGACACTGATTTGAGATGGCTAACATCAGAAGGTGTGACACTTGGCTGCACCTGACACATCAAGGCTGAGACAGTTCCTGCTGGTGGATGAGACCAGTTCACTGGCTGTAAGAGAGGCTACCATTGTAGCCTTCTGCCTTTACTGTTACAATGTGCAGCATTCAGCTGGTAGCCCCCTTGGAAGAAATCATCTAAATCTTTTCCTAAGTGAAAAGATACAAAATAAGCTAAGTCTTTAGAAAACTCTCCTTAGCTTTAAGCTCCTTAAGAACCCTAGATTGATACTAAGCAACTTCGTTAGCAGTGTAGCTTGACACAAATGCTTTATATGTATTCCCACTCACTTGGTACCTAATAGTAATAAATTGTAATGACACTTGAAAAACAAACATCTTAAGGAATTCTGGCCTCTTCTCATGTCCTCACTTGAAACTTCCCGGCTTTTGTGACATATTTGACTCCTTTAAATGGCTTATACTTCTCCCCATACATGTCCAAGCGGTTCACTTTTAAGCCTGTGTCAAAAAGAATGAAACAAATCATTACTATCCCAGTAATAATGCAAGATTTCTTTAGCAATGAACACTGTACCCTAGATGTGACACTGTACATTGTGGAAACAATGTCCTTTTTCATGCATTATGCTCTGGGGAGTATAGTTGATGCCTATACTGTGGCCAAAAAATTGCTTGTGAAGCTAGCTAACTCTACTTCTGTGAACACAAATGACTACATCTCTGGTGCTTAAATGCAGGTGTGATGAGGCACGTGTGATGGAAGAATGTAAAAGGAGCTGTTCTCCCAAACGCTTGGTGCCTTGAGGTCAGCACCACAGCAGGCAAACTGGAGCAGCTGCTCTTTCAAGGGCAGAACTGTCAGAACTCTTCCAAACTCCTAATTCTAATTTCCTGTTGACACACAGCATACCTATCTTTACCTGAAATAGCAAGCTGCTGGATCTTGAACTGTATGTTGAGGCTTGGATTTTCTTCTGGCTTGGGTGCTCCTGACTGTAAATTTACCAGTCCTTTAAGACTTGGGAGCTTTTGTGGAGTAATTTTCCCCACATCCCATGCTAGTACCTTAAAAAGACAAGAGAAAAAAATCTGAACCATGTGTTACAGAGGTTAACAGACACTAGAAGCTCCTACATAAAATGAAGCAGTGTCTTGAAAAACAGAACAACCCTGGAATAGACAACCGATTTACATTACTATCATTAAACTTTCAGCTACAGACCCTTTGTTCCAGCGAAATCACCTGTGTGGAAACAGTAATAGATGAAAGTTTGGCTGTAGCTGGAGTGGAAGACAAGGATGTGGAACTCTCCTGCTTAGACTTACATGGTCTCTGGAAGGTTCTGGAATTCTTAAGATGTAGAAGTTCTTTATATGCGCACATGTATCTATGTGGGGTTGTGCACGAGAATACAGAGCCCATGGAGGCCAGAAGAGGGTGTTAGATCCCCTGCAGCTGAGGCTACAGGCAGTTCTGTGCCTCCAATATGGTTGTTGGGAATCATATTTGAGTGTTCTTAGCCACTGAGCCATCTCCCCAGCTCCAAGGTTGGAAGATCTTTTAATGTTCTATGTGTGGTGGCTCACACCTTTAATTTCAGCACTCAGGAGGCAGAGGCCTCTGTTGAGTTCCAGGCCAGCCTGGTCTACATATTGAATTCCAGGACAGCCAGGACTACCGTGAGAAACCCTGTCTCAAAAAACAAGATAAAACAAAAACAACAAAACCCAACCCCCCCCCCAAAAAAAAAAATGCTCTATGAAGTTAGTCAAAATTACACCTCAGGTAGGTGTGGTGATACATACTTTTAATTTAGAACTCGGAGGCAGGGGGTTCTGAGTGGGCTACACGGTAAGACCCCCCCCCAATCAAACAAAACATATCTCATTTATCAAGCACTCAATTATTCTGCACATTTGCTAACTAAGGAAGCAGAGCAGCTGAGAGAAAAATCATCTTTTATAGTCTCTGAAAACCCTTATAGAGGCATGTGTAAGTAATGCAAGGACACTTTTCCCAACTACTGTGTCCTCCACCCCCACCCACAAAAGAGATCACACAACACTGCTCACTCTTCATTGTTGAAGCGGCTGTACCTTGGTTACTGGATCAAATGTATAGCTGCCTTGTGTTGGTGTCAGGTTCATATTCAGTACAACTTTTGGCATGTGAACAGTCACTGTGATTCCTTCAATAGTTTTTCCCATATTCTGTTTAGGTCCAATTGTTATATCAAATCTGCCACAAGAGCTGTTTTCCTTAAAGCTGATACTGTGTTTCACATACACTGGTATTGCCACAAGACTACAAAAAGACACAGAGAGAAAGACACGAAAGTACATATGTACATAGTGAAAGGTATGGACAACTCCAGGTGTAGCATGTGCTCCATGCTGTCTGTAACTGTGCCACAGGGCCATATACCCTAGGAGATGCA